CACTGTACTCTGCTGGAGAGTCTCATTCTTCTACCTGGCAGGCAGTGGCTGTTAGAGCATTTAGAGGCAGCAGGGGAAAGCAGTTTGTAGTTTTCGTTTGCTCAGTTTTGTTTTGTTTAGAGGGGGAATGCAGGTCCTGGAATTGCAATATAAGGCCTGGGTGCTGTCTCTGAGCTTTGTACTCAATGCTGGAGCTCTACCACTTGAGCCACAACTCCACTTCTAGCTTTTTGGTGGCTAATTCCAGATAAGTCTCCCAGACTTTCCTGCCCAAGCTGGCTTTGAACCATGATAGTCAAATCTCAGCCTCCTGAGTAGCTAGGATTACAGACATGAGCTACAGGCTCTTAGCTAGGTTTGTAGTTCTTCCTCCACGTGCCAAACCATCTGTATTTCCTTCTCAGAGCTCCCGGTTGAGCAGCCCACCTCCGGAGTTTCCGCTCCGAGCATCTACATTATAATACCACCCTGGAGAGCTAACTGCTTCTGCCTCACCTACTGTGTTTGGTTTCCAGGTGTAGAGTAGTTTGTTTTGTTGCAGATTGAACCTGGAGATTGAATCCAGGGTTGGCGAGCATTCTGAGATTTGCCCCCAGCCCACTACAGCTCTGATTTTTCCTCTTAGGTTACCTAGTTAGTAAGTCTTTATGCTTTGGGCTGGAAATGTAGCTTAATAGTAGGTTACTTGTCTAGCATGAACAAGGATCAGGGTTTGAAATACAGCATTGGGGGGACAAAAAAAGGCAACCTTCAGAGTATACTTTTCTCTGTTAAAATCTGTAGACAACCCCAAATTTATGAGCTTGAACTCATGGCCTGAGCTCCGTCCCTGAGCTTTTTTGCTCAAGGCTAGTGCTCTACCACTTAAGCCACAGCTCCACTTCTGGCTTTTTTTTTGGAGGGGGTCCGGTTGTGGGGCCTGAACTCTGGGCCTGGGCGCTGTCCCTCAGCTCTTCAGCTCAAGGCGAGCACTCTACCACTTGAGCCACAGTGCCACTTCCGGCTTTTTTTTTCTGCTTTTGTGGTGCTGAGGAATCGAACCCAGGGCCTCATTCATGCAAGGCAAGCGCTGAGCTACCTTCCTAGCCCCCACTTCTGGCTTTTTGGTTAATTGGAAATAAGAGTTTCACTGGCTTTCTTGCCTGCGCTGGCTTCAAACTGTGATCTTTAGATAGCAGCCTTTGAAGTAGTGAGGATTGCAGGTGTGAGCCCCAGTGCCCAGCTTACTACCTAGGATTTTGTAACTAGAGGTTTTGGAGCAAAATCTCCAGCAGGGGAGTCCCAAAAGACTGGGCTGGACCACCTGACACACCAGAAAGATGAGCAGTGGTGAAAAGAAAGGAGAAATTTAATCAACGTGAACACACTGGGAAAAAGAGAGATAAAGGGGTTCAGTAAGCCCCAAATCCATCTTCAAGGGACTAACAGAAACTCAGATTTTATAGTAAACAGAAACAAGAGAGAGGCTGGGAAGGTGGCTTAGTGATAGAGTGCCTGCCTAGCATGCATGAAGCCCTGGGTTCCATTCCTCAGTACCACATACACAGAAAAAGCCAGAAGTGGTGCTGTGGCTCAAGTGGTAGAGTGCTAGCCTTGAGCACAAGAAACTCAAGACAGTGCCCAGGCCTGAGTTCAAGCCCTAGGACTAGTGCAAAAAAAAAGACAGACAGACAAAGAAGGTTGAGATTTGTGTGGCTGACAAGAGCCAGTATGTTGGTCTGGCCAGTGGCCTGATCGTTGCCTGACCTCTAGTTCTTCTGGGGTCTGGAGAAGATGTTCTGCTGCCATTCTCAGGGGTACAACCTGATCATTATGGTAACTGTCCTTGTGGGAGGGGACTGGGGGGGGGCTGTCCTGAGAGGCTCCGTTGATGCTCAGGTGTTGTTTCTTTTTTTGTTGTTTTGTTTTGGGTCCGGTTGTGGGGACTGAACTCTGGGCCTGGGCGCTGTCCCTCAGCTCTTCAGCTCAAGGCTAGTGCTCTACCACTTGAGCCACAGCGCCACTTTGGGCTTTTTTTTTTCTTTCTTTTTGCTTATGTGGTCCTGGAGAATCGAACCCAGGGCCTCAGGCATGCAAGGCAAGCGCTCTGCCACTGAGCCACCTTCCCAGCCCTGGGTGTTGTTTCTTCGAGCTCCAGCTCTATCTGCCACTATTGCTCACTGGGTAGCACTCTGCCAACTGAGCCACGCCTCCAGCACCTTGGGCGTAGTTTCAGTTCCAGTTGAAGATTTTCTGTAGTTTATTTGTGGTATGGGGCATTCAGGGCGGGGTTACCAGGGCTCGGACCCAGGCCTGAGCACCTCCCCTCAGCTTTTTCACTCAGGGTTTATGATTCAGTTGAGCCACACTGCCATGTCTATCTTTTGTGATAGCTCATTGGAAATAGTCTCACAGACTTTTCCTGCCCAGGCTGGCTTTGAACTGGTTACAGTTCAGATCTCATCCTCCTGATTATTAGCTAGAACTACCCCCACCCCCGACACACACACACATATACGTACACACCCAGTTCAAAGATTTTTTTTTTTTTGGTCAGTCGTGGGGCTTGAACTCTGGGCCTGGGCCCTGTCCCTCAGCTCTTCAGCTCAAGGTGAGTGCTCTACCACTTGAGCTACAGCGCCACTTCCGGTTTTCTGGTGGTTTATTGGAGATAGGAGTCTCACGGTCTTTCCTGCCCGGGCTGGCTTTGAACCGCGATCCTCAGATCTCAGCCTCCTGAGTAGCTAGGATTACAGGCGTGAGCCACCAGCGCTCGGCTAGTTCAAAGATGTTTATCCATCAGTCCTGATGATCCTGGATTCAAGATAAGTGCAGAAACGAATGACTCCTGAGGGAAAAAGAAGAGACAAATACAGGTCCAAAGAAGGACTGCATAGGGCTGGGAATGTGACCTAGTGGTAGAATCCCCGCCTAGCATGCATGAAGCCTGGGTTTGATTCCTCAGTACCACATACACAGAAAAAAGCCAGAAGTGGCCCTGGGGCTCAAGTGGTAGAGCACTATCCTTGAGCTGAAGAGCTCAGAGACAGCGTCCAGGCACAGAGTTCAAGCTCCACGACTGACCAAAAAAAAAAGAAGGACCACATGAATGAGGCGAGAACGGCAGCTGGTGCCCTCCCTCGCTGTTTCGGTTGTATAGTGGTGAGAAAGGGCTGTGCAGGTCTGGGAATGTGGCTTAGTGGTAGAGTGCTTGCCTAGCATGCATGAAGCCCTGGGTTTGAATCCTCAGCAACACAGAAACAGAAAAAGCCAGAAGTGAGAAGTGGCGTTGTGGCTTAAGTGGTAAAGTGCTAGCATTGAGCACAGAGAGCTCAGGAACAGCACCCAGCCACTGAGTTGAAGCCCCAAGACTGGAAGAAGGAGGAGGAAGAAAAGGAGGAAGAAAGAAGAGGAAGAGGAGGAAAGGGTTAAGCATTCAGTAGAAACAGAATGAGTCTGGAGTTTGGGTCTTTTCCTGGTGATCCTGGATTTGATTCTTTGATGATGCTGGACAGCAGCTAGCTCCAGTGGTAGGTCCATGGGACAGCAAGGTCTGCAGCTGTGCGCCTCTGTGCTGGCTGGGTGCCGAGTGGGCCCTGTAGTGGCTTAGAAGCAGTCAATGCTTTTTCATTGTAAGGGTTTCTTGGCCTGCGACCCCACTAAAAGTCAAGGAGCTTCTACAATGTGGCAGCTTCTTACCTGCCTTGACTGACAGAGCCCTCAGGGCGGCCAGCAACCCTGAAGTGTGCACCTCTGGTCAGAACACGACTCCCTCTGCCTATCCCCTTCACAGCTAATGCCTCCCCTTGCTGGGACAACAGAAGTGACATAAAGAGAACCTGCAGTTGACACAAAACCTGTGCACCCACCTCCAGCCACAGCTCTACCAGGAGACCCTCCGCCTGACCCCCTGTGGCTTTCAGAGAAGTGTCCTTGCTCCCCTCTGCCACCACACCCACTCCCTCCGATCACACACCTGCTACAGGGGACAGCAGCCCAGCAGCCCTTGCCTCTGCTGAGCAATCATCACATAGTTCATCTCCTTTCTGGATCATTTCAGCATCTTTAGGAGATCCTGTCTCTGGGCCTTGCTGTGACTTCACTTCCTACCCCAGGTCTTCCTTCTCTACACCGAGCTTCTTGCAAGAAATGCCTCTGTGTGTGGTGCCCAATCTCTGCTTTTTTCTTCCTTTTTTTTTTTTTTTGGATGTCATGGGGCTTGAACTCTGGGCTTGGGCGCTGCCCCTGAACTCTTCAGCTCAAGGTGAGAGTTCTGCTGGAGCCACAGCGCCATTTCTGGTTTTCTAGTGGTTTATTGGAGATAAGAGTCTCATGGGCCTTCCTGCCTAGGCTGGCTTTGAACCGTGATCTCAACCTCCTGAGTAGGTAAGCCACTGACGCCCAGCTTCTGCTTTTTTCTTTCTCTTTTTTTTTGTGAAACCCAGATTTTTGCCAATCAACTACTAAGACACCTCTTGCTAAGGTCATTCAGAAAACCCCTGCTTAGTGCCAGGTCAGCACTTCATCTCTCTCTCTCTCTCTCTGTCTCTGTCTCTGTCTCTCTCTCTCTCTCTCTCTCTCTCTCTCGCTTAAACTCAGGGCCTTGTACCATCCCTGGGCTTTTGTGCACACTGCTGGTACTCTACCACTTCAACCATGCCTCCAGTCCAACACTTTGCTGTTGATTAGACACACAAGCCTCGCAGACCTTTCTGCCCAGGCTGGTTTCAAACCCGTGGTCCTCAGATCGCAGTCTGGCAGGGTGACTAGGATTTCAAGCGTGAGCCACCATGAGGCTGCATCACCGGGGAGAAGGTGGAGGCGGGACCCGGCCCGCCGGACCTCGAGCCAGCTGCGCTGAGCCGAGGACGCAGGGCGGGGCCCTGGGGGTGGGAGGAGGCCGGGAGCGGGCGGGAGGCGGGCGGTGCGCCTGACCTTCGGGCGGCCAGGGCCACGGCGGGGCCCCTCTCCCGGCTCCCTCTCCGGACTTCGGCGGCCCGCGGCCCTGCGCCGCCCGACCCATGTCGGGGGCCATCTTCGCGCCCCCCGAGGGCGCGGGCGCCCCGCTGGCCTGCCCGCTGTGCCGCGCGCGGTACGAGCGCCCCTGCCTGCTGGACTGCTTCCACCACGCCTGCGCCGCCTGCCTGCGCGGCCGGGCCCGCGAGGGCCGCCTGGCCTGCCCGCTGTGCCAGTGAGTGCCCGGCGGGCGGGAGCGGCCGGGAGCGGCCGGGGCCCACCCCACCGAGGAGGGGGCAAGGCGCAGAGCCGGCGGGGGGGGGGGGGGGGAGGGGGAGGGGGGAGGGCGGAAGCAGACGGGGCCCACCCCACCGGGGAGGGGGGAAGGCGCAGAGCCGGCGGGGGGCGGGGGGGGGAGCAGACGGGGCCCACCCCACCGAGGAGGGGGGAAGGCGCAGAGCCGGCTGGGGGGGGGGAGGGCGGAAGCAGACGGGGCCCACCCCACCGGGGAGGGGGGAAGGCGCAGAGCCGGCGGGGGGGGGGGGCGGGGGGGGGGAGGCACAGGGGGGGCGAGCGGGACCGAGGGGGCCTCCCCACACCCCTTATCTCCAGGCCCAAACCTGCACGTTCCCCTGAACAGGTCAGGTTAACAGCCCAAGGCAAGGCTCAGAGCAAGGCCTGGGAAAACAAAAACAAAATGCTCTTAGTGATAATAATAATAACCTAAAGCAAGCCTGGTGCTGATACTTCACACCTGTAACCCTAACCCTCAGGAGGCTGGAGGATTAGAGTTCAAAGCCAGCCCAGGCAGGAAAGTCCATGAGACTCTTACCTCCAGAAGTGGAGCTGTGGCTCAAGTGGTAGAGCAAAAACAGCTCCTGCACCAGCACCCAGGCTCTGAGTTTCAATCCCAGGACCAGCACAAAGTAATAATAATCATCAACAATAATAGGCACAAAATAATAGTAACAATAATAATAACCTAAACTAAAAGGGGCTAAACATGGGGCTCAAGTAGTAGAGCCAAAAGCAAAGCCCTGAGTTCAGATTCCAGTACTGACCCCCCACCCCCCAAAATGTCAGAGGACAAGAAAAGTCAGGCCACCCCCAGTAACTCTCAAAAGGGTCTCAGAACTCTTAAGCCACCTTCCACGGACCCAAGACCTAGAGATCCTAAATTTTCCCCATGCAAGAGTGCTCATGGGTAATGGAAAGCTTCACACATGAGGTCCAGTCCCCATCATTCGGCAGGATTGCCCGCTACTGGGCAAGGGTAGGGGGTCAGGGTAGGTACTGGCTGCCTATTTATAGCAAGCCTTGGGCTGCAGTAGATGGGACTTGGCTATTTTTAGCAGACGCTGGAATGGAAGGGGTGAGGCTGGGGAGGCTCTTGCCCTGGAGGTTTGTTCTTGGCTGCAGTCCCCCCACAGGCACCAGACCCTGGTGAAGGGTCCCGGTGGGCTCCCACCCGTGGACCAGCTGCTGCAGTTCCTGGTGGACAGCTCCAGAGACCGCATGGAGGTGGTGAACTGTGTCAACTGTGGCCTGGAGTGCAGCAAGGAGGCAGGCAGGGGAGGCCGAGGGGGAAGGAGGGCAGTGGTGGTGGCAGGTGGTGTGCTCCCTACACTCGCAGCATACACCCCGTGTCCACACCAGAGGAAGATTTCTCAACCCCCTCTCAGCGCATCTCATGTCCCGACGTAGTTCTGTTATTCACCCGCACATGGAGACAGATGTCCAAGTGACTTGAGTCAGAGGTCAGACACTGGCGAGGTGGAGGCCAGTGGATTCAAGTTGGTGGAGTTGTGACCTGGCACAGGAAGGGGACCCCAATGCACAGGTATAAAGCGTTCCTTGAGGCCTCCTGCTACCTGAGCAAGCACAAGTAAGCAACTAAGGGGTGCAGGAGAGTGCAGTTGGAGATAGATGTTCCTGCCCCCCAGCTCACCCCAAGCTAGGAAAACCTAGCTACTCAGGACACTGAGATCCCAGGGTCATAGTTCAAGAAAGTTTGTGAGACAATGTTCAAGAGGAAGTGTACTCATTACCTCACTCATGTAACTGTAACCCTCTGTATAGTAGCTTTACAATAAAATAAAATTAAAAAAAAAAAAAAAAAGAAAGTTTGTGAGATTCTTATCTCTAGTTGACCACCAAAAAGCCAGAAGTGGCTTATGTGGTAGAGTGTTAGCCTAGAGTGGAAAGAGGTAAGGGACCAGCCCCAAGTTCAAGCCCAGGAACCAGAACAAGGGGGGGGGGGGGGAGAGACAGAGCGAGGAAGGAAGGAAGGAAGGAAGGAAGGAAGGGAAGAAAGACAAAGCACAGTACAGAAGAGCAGATAATCCCCGCGTGAGCAAGCAGAGCTAGGAGACTGAGGAGTGGCCTTGATTGCCAACAGAAGGAGTTGGGCTTTATTCTGACACAGGCTTTGCCAGGAATGACTCCCACGGCTGCAACCTAAGCCCTGGACTCTCAGCTCTGGACCTGCCCATCTCCACGGAGTTGTAACCTCAGATGGCCAGGATGGACACTATCATTTCTCCACCACTAAAGGGGCCAAATGGAGCTTGAAAAGCACTCTGTGTCTCCCTCTCTATATCTCTGTCTGTCTGTCTCTCTCTCTCTCACACACACACACACACACACAATATTTTGCAGTACAGTTTCTGCACCAAATTCCCAAAGAACTGTCTCTTCCAGGGGGAAGAGACAGGCCCTTTCCACATCTACTGACCTAGCTCTGGGCCTCCGTGTCCTCATCTGTAAATGGGTACATTGGAGTGCCAGATGATGGGATGACAGGAAAGGACTGTGTTTAGCCTCAGACATGCCTCAGGCTGGGACAGACTCACTCAGTGACATGTGCGGTGTAGTCCGCCCCTGGCCAGCTGAGCTGGGGGTCTGGAGGCCTGGGCTGGAAGGCAACCTGAGCCAGTGCTCCTGCCCCCAGGACGCTGAGACCACGTACTTCTGTAACACCTGCGGGCAGCCGCTGTGTGCTCACTGCCGTGAAGAGACGCACAGGGCACGCATGTTTGAGAGCCACAACATCGTGGCCCTGGGCCAGAGAAGCCACGATGTCATCCAGAAGTGCTGTAAGGCATGGGGACCCCCGTGGGCGGGGCTTCGGGCGGCACCGCCCGAGGCTCATGGCAGCCTCCCCTGCCCCACCCTGCTGCGCAGCTCTTCACGGGGAGCCTTTCATCCTGTTCTCCATGGACAAGAAGTCTTTGTTGTGCATCCGTTGCTTCCGGGACCTGCAGGGGTGCGTTGGGGGAGCAAGAGGGGAGGGGGCCAAGGGTGTCCGAGCCAGTCTTCTTAGCTGCCCCCCCCCTGCAGGGAGAGCCGGGCCCACTGCATGGACCTGGAATCCGCTTACCTGCAGGGCTGCGAGCGGCTAGAGCAGGCAGTCATGGTGAGCGCAGGTTGGGACCTGATCCAGGAAGGGGAGGGGATGTAAGAACCCGGGAGCTGGGCCCCTGAGGCCGCCCTGTCCCCAAGCGGTGAAGGCCCTGCAGAAGGCCACTCGGGAGGCCATGGAGCTGCTGCAGGCCATGGTGGAGGAGGTGCGTCGTAGCGCTTCCGAGGAGGAAGCAGCTATCCACACCCTCTTCAGCAGCTTGCAGGTAAGGGCAGGGGGGAAGGCGTGCTGTGCAGATTCCTCAGCACCACCAGGGAAGGAGGGAGGGAGGGAGGGCCTCCCCCTTGTGAGTTTCCAGTGTCCTGGGGCAGATGATGAGCCGTCTTCTTGCCTACAGGTCATCCAGTCACTCACCGCTCCCTGGAGAATCCCAGGGGGACGGCCAGGCCAGGCTTGGGGGCATGGGGGAGGGGGAGATTGTCTGCAAAGTCTACACCTGGGAGGTGACATTTAAGATGAGGGTGCCCAGGCTCTCAGGCACTGGTAAGCAGGAAGGAAGGCCTTTGGACAAGTCGGGGAGCTAGCCAGCACCCCTGCACCATGCCCCAGAGTAGTGGAGGGGAGGGGGATGACACAACCAGGTGGGTCAGTGGGGGGCTTTCTCTCCCAGGACAAATTGGCAGAGAGAAAAGCTTTGCTACTACAGGCTGTGCAGAGGTGAGTGGGGCAGGGCTCCGTTCCCTTACCCCTTGGTATGTAAGTACCCAGACCAAAGCCTAAACATGTACTCCACCTGGGGAGTAAGACATCCATCCAGGTGGCCCTCAGCAAAGCGGGAAGGTACTCTGGGGAGGAGAGTAAGACTGCAGATCTGAGACCCCCAGGGGAGGGCGGGCAGCCTTTCCCCTGGAGCCCTGGCAGCCTGCTCCTCCCCAGCCAATACGAAGAGAAAGACAAGGCTTTCAAGGACCAGCTCTCCCGCCTAGCTGCCTTGCTGCCCACCCTGCAAGTAAGCGGATCTAGGGGCACAGGGCGGGGCACCCCGGCCCAGAGGCCAGGCGCCAGGCATCACCTGATCTCCACTGCAGGTTCACCTGGTTATCTGCTCCTCCTTCCTCAGCCTGGCCAACAAGGCTGAATTCCTGGACCTGGGCTATGTGAGTCTCCAGGCCCCCACCCCCACCCCCAGCCTAGGGGTCCGCCCTGTGTACAAAAGTGCCACTTCAGGGTTTAGTAAGCCAGGGGGGTTCTGGGGCTGCCTTCACCCCATCATCTATACTTTAGGCGTCAGGTGAGTACCTTTTAAGAACAAAGCCAGGCACCAGTGGCTAATTCTTGTCATCCTAGCTACTCAGAAGTCTGAGGTCTGAGGATAACAGTTTGAAGCTAGCCTGGACAGGAAAGTCTGTGAAACTCTTTATCTCCAGTGAACCACTGAGAAGCTAGCATGCCATCCTTGAGTGGATAAAAGCTAAAGTCCCGCACCCAGGCCCTGAGTTTGAGCTCCCGTACTAGCAAAGGGGGGAGGGGGAGGGAGGAAGGAAGGAAGAAGGGAAGGGAGGGAAGGGCCGGACGAACTGTGAAGCCTGGAAGTCAGGGAAGTATATCTCTTTTAAAACACATAGTGTAAGTAGGCATCCATGGCTCAGGAAGCTGAAATCAGAGGATAGAGGTTCGAAGCCGCCCCGGGCAGGAAAGTCCGGAAGACTCTTATTTGCAGTTAACTGAAACCTCACCCAAAACCCGGAAATGGCCCCGTGGCTCAAAGTGGTGGGGCACAAAAGCTCAGGGACAGTGCGGGACCCCAGGAATACCCCGGGACCCCAGCTATAACGCTCACCGGGGCCGTCCCCCCCCACCTCGCGCGCCTGCGGCCGCCGCCCTCCCCGCAGGAGCTGATGGAGAGGCTGCAGGGCATCGTGGCGCGGCCGCACCGTCTACGGCCAGCTCAAAGCAGCAAGGTGCGCGGGCGCCCCGCGAACGAGGGGCGGGGGACCCCGCGGGCGGGCGGCCGCCGGAACCCCCTCCCGACCCCCAGATCGCCAGCGACCACCGCGCCGAGTTCGCGCGCTGCCTGGAGCCGCTGCTGCCGCGCACGTGAGCGGGGCGTCGGGGCGCCGGGCTCCGGGCTGCGGGGCGGGGCGGCTCGAGCCCGGGGCACTTGGAGAGGCTGAGGTGGGAGTCGGGGGCCGACGCGGCCGGGTCCTGCGTCCGCGTCCGCGCTGCCACCGCCGGGGCGGCCCGGCCCCGGGGCGGGGTCTCGGGCTCCCCGCGCAGCTGCGGGTCGGGGAAGGGGTGCACGGCGCCCCCACACTCCCCTCTCCGCAGGCTGGCCGGGGGCTCCGGACGCCAGGCGCTGCGGGGGCCCCCAGGGTCGCCGGTCCCGAAACCCTCGCCGCACCGAGCCGTCAGCACCCAGGTGCTGCTGGCCGAGGGCGCGGACACGCCCTTCACCGAGCACTGTCGGCGCTACGAAGAGTCCTACCGGGTGAGTGTGGGCGGGGACGGCTCCCGCCCCGCCCCGGAAGTCAGTAACGCCCCGCCCCATCCTGCCTCTCCCCTCATTAGCCCCGCCCTTCCAGACCCCGCCCCATCCGGAGGTAACCCCGCCCCGTCCTGCTCCGCCCCTCGCCTGGCCCCGCCCTGTCCTGAGGTAGCCCCGCCTCGTGTTCGCCCGGCTCCGCCCTGTCCTGAGGTAGCCCCGCCTCGTGTTCGCCCGGCCCCGCCCTGTCCTGAGGTAGCCCCGCCTCGTGTTCGCCCGGCCCCGCCCTGTCCTGAGGTAGCCCCGCCTCGTGTTCGCCCCGGCCCCGCCTTCTCCCCTCCCCCCCCCTTGCGCAGGCGCTGCAGGGGGAGGTGCAGAGCCTGAAGGATCAGGTGCAGGAGCTGCACCGCGACCTCACCAAGGCCGAGATCATGGGGGACAGCCTGCGCAGGTCCCTGCAGCTGGACGCGCAGATCGCCTCCGAGTTCGCCTCCGTGGAGGGCACGAGAGCTGTCTTCCAGGAGGTAGCGCCCGGGAGCCCCGCGCCTGCCCCTGCGCCGGCGGGAGACCCCCGGGAACCCCGCGACCGGAAGAGGCGGGCCTGGGCCGGCGCGCCATCCGAGGGAGGGGTGTTGGAACCTTAGGCTCGGCCATCAGGCACCATGTGGACCCAGCTGGGCCGAGGGAAAGACGACGCTCCAAGCCGACATTTCTCTCTCTTATTGTTTTGGTAGTACTAGGACTTGAACTCAGCACCCCGTGCTTACTAGGCAGGTGCTCTACTGTTGAGTCAAGCCTCCAGCCATCCAAGTAGGAGTTTCTGAAGCAGAATTGCTTCTAGTGGAGCTAGACATAGTGGTGCATGCCTGTAACCCTAGCTTCTTAGGAAGTGGTCATCTCAAAGATCACAGTTCAAGGCCAGCCTGGGCAAAAAGTTCTTGAGATCTCAACAATAGAAAGTTGTACACCTGTCATGTCTGTATCATCCCAGACACACAGAAAGCCACCCTGGCAAAAACGCAAATATCTCAAAAGTAACTACCTGGGAGCCAGTGGCTCAGCCTGTCATCCTAGCTACTCAAGAGACTGAGATCTGAGGATCATGGTTTGAAGCCAGTCCAGGCAGGAAACTCCATGAGACTCTGATCACCAATTAACCACCCCCACCCCCACCCAAAAAAAGGCCAGAAGTGGAGCTGTGGCTCAAGTGGTAGAATCCCAGCCTTAAGAGGAAGATAAAGGACAGCATCCATGCACTGAGTTTAAGTACCAGAACAGTATGCGGGGGGAGGGGGATCCTACTCAGCAGTGGCATCCCCAGCATCGCCCTTTTCTTTCAGATTTGGGAAGAATCCTACCATCACGTGGCTAAGGAGCAGGAGATTTATGAAGGTCCCAGGCAGTGGTTGATTGCTGAGCCACTTCCCATGCTGGAGCTAACCTGTGCGCTAGCCAGCTGTTAACAATGCATGGCTCTTCCCCATGTTCTTTCCTGTAGAGCTTTGCTTAGCTTCCTGCACCAAATGCTGTGCCCTTTAGAGATCACTGCAAGACCCGGGATCTTTAGATTGTGCCAGGCTTGAGGGTAAGAGTCTGACACTGCCAAAGCCCAACACTGTGATCTTGGCACCTGCAGCCCAGCTCCATGACCTTCTCCAGCTGAAGCAGGAGAATGCCTACCTGACCACCATCACCAAGCAGATCACGCCCTATGTTCGTTCCATCGCCAAGGTGAAGGAGCGGCTGGAGCCCAGGTAAGGGCTGCAGACAATTCAGAATGAGTGAGGGAAGAGGAACCACCCTCTTCAGGGAATTAATTCAGCAGGCTAGGATGGAGGGTTCTGAACAGAACAAGTGCTAGGCATTTACAAAGTAATGATTACTGAGAGCCTGCTTGTAGACACTGATAGCTCCCTGCAGCCCTGGAAGCGCTGTGCATACAGGCTAGTGCTCCACTAGAGACAAAAGTGTAGGTGTGACTCGGGTGTGTGGTGTTTGGTGTCTTGTTTGTGGAATATTCCCATCTGAAGCTCCTGTCCTCATTCCTCATCCCCACCCCTACCTTGGAAGGCCTCTGGAGTTGCCCGTGCATGCCACACCCAGTGCTTTGGCCTTCAGCCAGTTCAGATGTGATTGTGCTTTTGGTGGAAAAGCGACAGTTACTAGTGGCAGGGACCCTAGGGCTATTGGCTCTGAGTAGAACAAGCTAGGGCCTAGCTGGTAGCAAATCTGCTCCCAGCACAGGATCTGCTACTTGAGTCACACAGGCTCACCTGCTCCCCACCTCTAGCATGCAAGTGTCATTCAAGTTCTAGACCTTATTCTTTTCAATAGACCTTTAATGAGTTTGGGGATGGAAGAATTGTGTGTGTGTGTGTGTATGTGTGTAACCAGCCACGGTGGCTAATGCCCTGGACAGCATGGGTTTCACTTGTGTGCACGCGCGCACACCTTTTTTTGTATATGTGTTTATAGCAGGCTTGAATTCAGGACTCATGCTCTTGCTTAGCTTTTTCATTCATGGCTGATGCTCTACCACTTCCAGCTTTGTGTGTATGTGTGTGGAGGGGGGGTGTTTGTCTGCATATTTCAGTATATACCAGTACAGGGCCTGGCCAATTGTGCAAAAGGCTAATGATCTACTACTTGAGCCACAGCTACACTTCCATCTTTTTTTTTTTTTTTGCCAGTCCTGGGGCTTGAACTCAGGACCTGGGCACTGTCCCTGAGCTTCCTTTGCTCAAGGCTAGCACTCTACCACTGAAACCACAGTACCACTTCCGGAATTGAACCAAGGACTTCATGCATGCTAGGCAGGCACTCTATTACTGAGCCACATCCCCAGCCCTCCAGCTTTTTTTTTTTTGTCAGTTGCAGGGTTTGAACTCCATTTTTGGTTTTCTGATGGTTAATTGGAGGTAAGAGTCTCACAGATTTTCCTGCCTAGGCTGGCTTCGAACTATGATTCTCAGATCTCAGCCTCCTGAGTCACTAGGATGGCAGGCGTGAGCCACTGAGAGGTTGGACTTGGCACAGTGCACAGCACTCATCTGAAGCCAGTTTCTGCTGCTATTTGCCGTAATTCCTGCCACATGGGCTCCTCTGCTGACATGCAGTTGTTCACTGTAGGCACTATAACTTCCCTCACAAACTCCAAACCAGGCGCAACCAATGTGTGTGTGAACAGCGGGGATGGTTGTCCTGGACTGTGGCAGAAAGGGACAAGAAGGGGCCTCGGATGAACCGATGCTGACCTGGATGTGGACCAGACTTTGTCATGCTCCATAGCATGGAACTAGACTGCATGAGCTTTCTTTCTGTGCACTGATTCTGTGGGAAGCTCACTCTGCGTGTGTGCTGCTGCCTGCTCCCAAGGGGACCTTGCTGGCAAGGCCACCGTGCCAGGAGAGCTGTGGTTTTGGCAGGACAGAAGGCTGGGCCCTGCTCCCGGAGGCTTGGCTAGGCTGAGATGGTCTCTGCTCGTCTTCAAGGCACCCGGTCCTCTGCCCCCTTCTATGCCAGCCCCTCAGCCAGGAATCTGTCTTGTCCCCTTTCCTGTCCCCATGATCTCTCAGTTTAATTGGAGCCACATTCTGGGTACATGTATGGCATGCCCTTCTCTTGCATATGACACCCCACGCTCCCAGTCCCCCCGTTTTTAGCCATCCATTCCTTTCTGGTTCCAGGAAGTCGTTCTTTCCTCGCCATGCTGCCAGCATAGCACCTTCCCCTGGGCTCATCTAAGGCTTTCTTCCTCACCCTGCGCCCTCTTTTAAGTGACTTCATCTACTTCCTGGCCTTTTGCCAGGCTGGCCTGGCACTTCCGCTCCTCCCAGCTCAGCCTGACAAGCTGGATTATAGGTGCAGACACCAGGCACATCATTTTTTCTGAATGCAGGGCCTGGAGCATGCTAAGCATGCTAGCACTGAGCTGCACCCTTGGCTTTAAAGCATTCCTGCAATGCAGCCACCCCCAGCCCTCCCCCCTCCACAGCAAGTGCTGGGCCCAGACTCACCTCTGGCTACCTCCTGGCATCTCTGCCAGGGTGTCCATGCCCAGCAGTGGCTGGCAGAGCCCTTGGTGTCCTCTCCTCCCCCACACCACACCCATTTCCCCATCTCAGTCAATGGTAACACCTGCTCAAAGCTCAAAACACCTGCCCTGACTTCTGTTCTCGCCACTCCATTTCCATTCCCGTGCTCGAGTTCTATAACTGAACTGTGTTTCAGCCATCAACTTAGTGCCCTGCTGCTTCCATCCCCAAATCTAGGCCACCAGAGCCAGCCGCCCCAGCTCCTTCAGCATGCTACATAGCTGGTGATCTTGTAAAAGCCCGTAAGTGTCGGGCGCTGGTGGCTCATGCCTGTAATCCTAGTTACTCAGGAGGCTGAGAGCTGAAGATCACAGTTCAAAGACAGCTTGGGCAAGAAAGTCCATGAGACTCCTGTCTTCAATTAATCACAGAAAAAGCTGCAAGTGGAGCTGTGGCTCAAGTGGTAGAAAGTGTGCTATCTTTGAGCACAAAGCTGAGGGACAGCACCCGGGGCCTGAGTTCAAGCCCCAGGACTGGCACTAAAAACAAAACAAAAAACTAATAACAAATGTATCAGGATGCTATTAAAAAAAAAAAAAAAAGCTGTGTGCTGGTGGCTCATGCCTTTCGTCCTAGCTACTCAGGAGGCTGAGATCTGAGGATCACATTTCAGTCAGCCCAACCAGGAATGTTTGTGACTTTTTTTGTTATTGTTGTTGTTGCCAGTTCTGGGGCTTGAACTTAGGGCCTAAGCACTATCCCTGAGTTTCTTTTTGCTCAAGGCTAATGCTCTACCACTTGAGCCACAGTGCCACTTCCAGCTTTTTCTGTTTATGTGGTGCTGAAGAATCAAACCCAGGGCTGTGTGCATGTAGGCAGGCACTCTACCACTGAGCCACCTTCCCAGCCCATTTGTGACTCATCTCCAATGAACCACCAGAAAACCCAGAAGTGGTGCTGTGGCTCAAGTGGTAAAACACTGGCCTTGAGCTGAAGAGCTCAGGGACAGGGCTTAGGCCCAGAGTTCAAGCCCCACAACTGACCCCTTCCCGTCCCCACACCCCCCAAAAAAGCAGCAGGTCTCATTCACTGTTCTGCCTTTCCTCTGCCTTTCCTACCTCCCCCAAGGGCCAGGCCTCTGCCCTCCCATCCTTTACTGCAGCCAGTGGTTTACCAACTCTGGTAAACAACTGGACATTGGCAAATACTCCAGGACTTGGAGGGAAGTGTCAGCGGGCCCCGAAGTGTTGGCTTCCGTTTGATGTGGGTGCGGTGTGAGCCCAGGGCCATGCAGTGCATAGGCTGCTACCTTGAAGCGTCCAGGCACCTGCTTTCTTTCCTCCAAGCTCCAGGCACCTGTAGACAAGCAGTCAGAGCACCTGCAGGACGCATATGATGACAGCAGGAACACTGAGGTGCTGGCCAGGTACAGCATGTCTTTCCAACTTGAGTGGACAAGTGCTGGCACTTAAGAGACAAAATGCAAAGGTCCCTTTGGTCTTGGCTTGGTGCTGGCCTTGTCTATGACCTTGGTGGAGCCTCACATGTTTTTGTTCGTCGTGGGGCTTGAACTCTGGGCCTGGGTGCTGTCCCTCAGCTCTTCAGCTCAAGGCGAGCGCTCTACTACTTGAGCCACACCACCATTTCTGTTTTTTTTCTGAGTGGTTTATTGGAGATAAGAGTCTCACATACTTTCCTGCCTGGGCTGGCTTTGAACCGTGATCCTCAGATCTCAGCCTCCTGAGTAGCTAGGATTACAGGCATAAGCCACCAGCACCTGGCTCAAATTTTGTATTTTTTGCCATTCCTGAGGCTCAAACTCTGGGCTTGGGCATTGTCCCTGAGCTCCTTTTTGCTCAAGGCTAGCGCTCTACCACTTGAGCTACAGTGCCACTTCCAGCTTTTGCTGTGGTTAATTGGAGATAAGAGTGTCATGGACTTTCCTGCTTAGGCTGACTTTGTACTGCGATCCTCAGATCTTAGACTCCTGAGGAGCTAGGATTACAGGTGTAAGCCACCAGTGCCAAGCCTCTGGGCTTCAATTTGTAAAATAAAGAGGCCAGAGAGGCTTGAAACCTGGGCGAGTGCTTCACAAGTGACTTCCTAGATGACACATGTGGCTTAGCTAGGGTTATTTCACAATTACAAATGGCAGTGTTTGCTGCCTCTGTCCACTTACACCACCAAGCTCTTACAAGGGGCTCAAGTTCTGTGATAGGAAAGGTGAATGAGGGTGATTTTGTGGTGTGTGCTGTTTCCTAGAGCTACTGGCCAATACTTCCTGAGGCAGAGAAGAGGGAGTGGGAACAGACACATCAGTCACATTGGTCTTAGGTGTTTGTCGTCCTCAGTAAGATGTGCATGGCATTGCAAAGTCAAAGCTGGGAGAGCCTGGAGGTTTGAACTGCCTAGAATGTCAGCATGGCTGGAGACAGCAGAGACAGGTCCCGCCCTCCACCCAAGCCTCAGATGCTCCCCAGAACCCCAGCTCCAAGCCGAACCACTCAAACAGCCCCAGTGTGCCTGTGTCTGGCAGACAACTACAGTCTCCTGGGGATTGAAGCCACTCAGAGATGAAGGGAGAATCTTCCATGAGAGGCAGGTCTTTCTGGATCTGAAGATGTGGTCACCTGCTGGGCCTCCAGCTGGGCGCTGGCAGCTCATGCCTACAATCCTAGCTATTCAGGAGGCTGAGATCTGAGAATCATGGTTTGAAACTAGCCTAGAAAAGAAAATCTGACACTCATCTCCAATTAGCCATCAAAAAGCTGGAACTGAGCCAGGCAGCAGTGGCTCACGCCTGTCATCCTAGCTACTCAGAAGGCTGAGATCTGAGGATTGCAGTTCAAAGCCAGCCTGGGCAGGAAAGTCCATGAGACTCATCTCCAATAAACCACCAGAAAACTGGAGGTGGTGCTGTGGCTCAAGTGGTAGAGCACTCAAGCTGAAGAGCTGAGGGACAGCGCCCAGGCCTGGAGTTCAAGCCCCATGACAAGACAAAAAAAAAAAGCTGGAACTGGACCTGGAGCTTAAGTGGTAGTGTTAGCCTTGAGCAAAAAGCTAAGGGAAAGTTTGCAGGTCTTGAGTATACGCCCTAGTACTGGAGCATGCATGCACGTATACATACCAGCTGGGTGCTGGAGACTCACCTCTAATCCTAGCTACTCAGGAGGCTGAGATCTAAGGATCATGGTTTAAAGCCAACCTGGGCAGGAAAGTCTGTGAGGCTCTTATCTCCATTAACCACCAAAAAAGCTGGAAGGGGTACCTGTGGCTCAAGTGGTAGAGTACCAGCCTTGAGCAAAAATGTTAGGGGGGGAAAATGCTCAGGGACAGAACCCAGGCCCTGAGTTCAAGTCCTAGGATTAGCACAAAGAAAAAAAATGTCTATTGTGAAACGTTGGCAGGAGGGATACAGCCCAGGAGCGAGGCAGATGCCCTCACACTGAACCGTTCCTTTAGGAGTGATCCAGTAAGTATCACAGATGAGAGAGGGGCATCTGAACTTAAAGCCAACAGCAGGGCCCTGAGTGGCTTCTCAGACCTGACACCCACCATGGAGAGCACCCAGCCCCACCCTGACTTAGTACGCTGGGCCTTCACCAGCCTGCTTCACTTTTGTCTGTGCTCCTATGGCACCAAGGTGACCCCAGGACCATATCCCTGCCCATGTGAAGCAGCCTGGAGTTGTCCACTGGCCCAGCACCTGCATGTCAGGTGTCTGGGGACCTGGCCCCGTGTTCAGATGATAAAAGGGGCTGCTGACCTGGGTTTTGTTGTTTTTGCCAGGCATGGGACTTGAACTCAGATCTCAGCCTCCTGAGTAGCTGGGATTCCAGGTGTGAGCCACTGGCACCGGCTGGCCTGGGTTTAACAAGATGTCAGGACTGCATAGCACCTACCCTGCTTTGAATGAGTCACATCCCCCTGAATCACAGTTCACTGCTGACCTGACGCCACTGCAAAGTTCCACCCAACAATCTGAGCAGACTCACACAAGGGCAAAGAACTGGGGCTGGGAAGGTAGCTCAGCGGTCGAGTGCATGCCTTGCAAGCATGAGGCCCTGGGTTCGATTCCTCAGCACCACATAAACAGAAAAAGCCGGAAGTAGCCGGGCACTGGTGGCTCACGCCTGTAATCCTAGCAACTCAGGAGGCTGAGATCTGAGGATCGCAGTTCAAAGCCAGCCCGGGGCAGGAGAGACGGTGAGACTCCTATCTCCAATAAACAACCAGAAAACCGGAAGTGGCACTGTAGCTCAAGTGGTAGAGCGCTAGCCTTGAGCTGAAAAGCTGAGGGACAGCGCCCAGACCCAGAGTTCAGGCCCCATGACCGGCAAAACAAACAAACAAACAAACAAAAGGGCAAAGAACTGCCACAGTGAGGGCGGGGCCCTAAAGCCCAGAGGCCTCTGGCCAGCCTGTGGCAGAGGGCAGCTGCTCCAGGCCACTGCTCTCCCGGACGGCACATGGCTTCAACCCATTTCTACACACTGAGGAGCTTAATAAATGCTTTTAAAAACTAAGCTGCATTTAAAAGTTTTGGAGGCCAAGTGGTGCCCAGAGAGCCACACTTTAAGCAAATATCCAGCAAATGATACCAGGGAGGCTGGCACATCAATACAAAATCTCAGTCACACTGACACCCGTGCCCTGAACTCATCATCACAAACTGATTAGAATTCAAAACAGAGCCAAGGAGGCACAAACAACGGACCTGAGGGCTAGCTGCTGTGGATTCTGCTCACCCAGCCATACCCTGATCACCTTTGAGCTTCTGTACCCCCAGAGAGTGACACAGTCGCCCGAGTGAAATCAAGTATTTTTATTTAATTGGAAATAATCAGTATCTGTGAAAGAAAATCCCATTTCATATACTTAAATAAACATTTCTGTATGTAAAAAGAAGAGTAGAATAATTACTCTGTAACTCCCTCTCCTTATGGCAGGCCAGGCTGCCTCCACTCAGGATGGGTTGTGAGGGGGACCCTAACCCTAAGCACAGGTCAAAGGTCAAGCTTTTCAGAGCTGCACTGAGCATGCCCCACTCAGAGAGGCCACTGTGAAAGCAAATTACGGTGAGGGTCATACCGCCTACGGCAGTGAGAAAGTGCAGAGAAGGAATGGGGGGCCACCATGCCTGTTACAGGGACACGCGACCAAGGAGCTGTGGCTGAGACCCCCCCAAATCAGACTGCTAACACAGCCTGGTTTAAGACTTTTTCCCTCACACACCAACCCTGAATAGGCAGGAGGGATTCAGAAAGGTACTGTTGGCTCAAGAGGCCATTCTTACTAAGGAAGAGGCCAGAGACATGGCCACTGTCTGCTTCCTACCCCACAAGTTGGCTTGGGCACAGCCCCTTCTGCAAACTGCCACCCTGGCTGGCCAGCAGAGAACCAGGAGATTCTCCAGGTAGCTTTGTGTCTATACAGAACCACACTCCATTTGAGATTCCACTGCAAATCTGAGTTTCTTAAAAGGAGGAAACTGTCTTGTGAGGCCTGAAAAGTCTTTCCCTCATTGGCCTGATTCTCCACCTCAGGCGTATCAATCCCTCCAATGCTGCCCGCCACCCCATCTGCTAACTCCGCCCTTGGACAGGAGGGTGGGATTTTCTTTTCTTTTTGGTCGGTCGTGGAGTCTGAACTCTGGGCCTGGGAGCTGTCCCTCAGCTCTTCAGCTCAAGGTTAGTGCTCTACCACTTGAGCCACAGCGCCACTTCCGGCTTTTTTTCTTTTTGCTTATGTGGTGCTGAGGAATCAAACCCAGAGGCTCGTGCATGCAAGGCAAGCGCTTTACCACTGAGCCACCTTCTCAGCCCCGAGGGTGGGATTTTCATCTCTGCACCAACACCTCAATTTCCTAAAGCCTCTGGGGTGCAGGCTGGGAAGCAGCATGAGACACTCCCAGGCCTGGGTTCCTGTCTAGGTCCTGGCATGCTGCTCAGCTTGCTGGTCTCTGGCAGGCGCAAGGTGGCACCAAATGCCAACACCCAGAATGCCAACCATCCACAAGGTCAGGGGCTGTCATTAACTGCTCTTCATCCTTCAAAAAGCCAACTTCATTGCCCCCAAGGGCCACGGAGGCTGGGTCCAGCTCTGCTCAGATGTGGTAAGAGAACTCTGCCGCAAGGAGCAGGGGTGGCTGCCAGAACCCATGCACGCCTCTCTGCCTGCAGTCCTGGCAAGGGGATTTGCTCTAGTGGGAATGGTCCGGAGAAGCTGAGGACCGACTCCACCCATGACCCCTCCCATAGCTCACTCGGGAGGAACTGTGCTGCAGTCCCCATTCAAGGGAGGGCTCTGAAAGGCCTCAGGAGGTTCCCTAACTAGCCAGCGCCATGCATGGGCAAACCCACAGCCTCTTTGGTATATATAACACTGAAAAATCAAGCCATGAATCTAGAAATAAGTACTATTTCTCAGCTGGTTCTCTTCTATATATATATATATATATATATATATATATATACACATACACACACATACACTGTATACATATAGCGTACGTGTGCGTATATATATATATACACATATGTACACACACACACTTTAGGTATCTGCTCAGTTAAACAAATGCAAGTCCATTCTGTGCAGTTCTTAGACTATATAACTTCCTTCTCCCACCGCTCTCCTCTCCTATATACATTGAGGATGTCTGACTGTCTCAAGTCCTCTTAACACCCCTGAGAGGTAGGTGGTACCGACCCCATTCTGCAGGTGGGGAAGTCTAAGCATAGAAGGGTCAAGGGGCGTGGTCAGGCTGAGCAGAGCTCAGCACATGCCAACACCACTGTCACCATCACACTCATTTGTGTGTGAGTGTGAATGATCTCAGGAGACCAAGCCCCTGTCCAGTCTAGAACTGCACAGGGATTTCATGACGAAAGCTTGCATGTTTGACATAAAAAGCCAAATTCTTCCTACAAACTTGCAGAAAAAAATGCCGCCCCAGCCTTGGCTGGGCTAGCTCCTCTACCCAGTTGACTGGCCTGAATTTACAGTCCTGTGTGGTGTGGCAGAGAAGACAGCTTAGGACAGAATTGGTAGGGTGGGACCCAAGAACGGAAAGCAGTGCATGGTAGGTTTACACTAAAGCTCAGAACTACGAGCTATGGTAAGAGGAAAATAAAAACCCCAAATAAATGGAGGGCAGCATTTCTCAATACATAGCAATGCCTTGCCTGGGAAAGACTTCAGTAAGCACTTCTTCTATTACAGGAGTGGGGGAAGTCAGACCCCAGGAGAGCCAAAAGGCCTTTGATCCCCCCACCCCATGCCTGGGGTGCCAAAGTCACACAAAAACGACATGACCAACGGGACCCAGGGTCTGTGCTTACTGACTACCTAATAAAACCTGGAGATGGAAATAACAAGTGGGACCCTTTGAGCCTAGGCTGCTTATGAGAAGTAGATGCGTAAGTAGGATTAAATGTGGGAAGAGCCAAGGTGTCACAGAAGAAGGGTCTTTAGCATTGTATAGATGTTCATGCATTCAAGGGTGCGGTAGAGGTTAAAGCTGTGCTGCTGTGTTTTCTGTTCAGTGAAAGGATTCGGTGCATTTTCAGTGCTGATAGGTGGCCACATCACGGCCCTTCCTGGGCAGAGCTCGGCAGCGAGCAGCACCTATCTCTCGGGTTGGGTCACAGGGTCACACTCCAGCCTCGGGGGCACTGGGAGTGACCTGGGCTCTCACCAGGCCTCTGCAAGGGCACTGATGAATATTGCTGTGATTTGTGCCTTGTTCATTGACAATCTGTGTCCTACCTTGATTCAGCACAAGAATTAATTGCTCCAAGGGTCCTTTGGTCCTAAGGCCTTCTGACCATTTGGTCTTGGGTGACATTCCAGAAGAGTAGTTATTGACATATAAAATTATTAAGAAAATTCATTCTATAGTGGCCAACTGGAAGCTGTTTTGTCTAGGGCTGTGGGGGGTCCGAGGCCCTTAGTCCAGCCAGGCCCCAGCACATCATAGCCCCACCTTGACCCCCTTTATGAAAGGCAGGCCCGTGGGCACCCTCTTCTTATACTCCAGGTACTCCTCCCCAAAGAAGTGAATGAGTGAGATCTCCTCTTCTTCCGTCCGGTCTCGGAAGAAGCGCCACACTGTCAGGGCATAGACGACACCACAGATGGGATTGCACAGCATCACCTGGCAGAGACATGCCAAGAGGATCAAGGTCAGAGTGACCCACACCCGAGCACCAGTTTCTGTACCCCACAGGATTTCAGGGCACTCAGGACTCTGTGGGTTTGTGGGAGTCAGGCCAGCACTGACCCTCACACGTTAGCTGTAACAAGGAAGGAGCAACCTCTTGAACTCCAACCTTTAGGTCAGGATGCCAGATGCCCCCACCTGCACTCAGGTGTGAATTCTCCAATGTAGGGGCTCATTCCGGTGTCCCCCTGCCTCCATACACTTACATTATACTCTTTTTTTCAGTTGTGGGGTTTGAACTCTGGACCTGGGTGCTGTCCCTCAGCTCTTCAGCTCAAGGCTAGCGCTCTACCACTTGAGCCATAGCACCACTTCCGGTTTTTTGGTTGTTAATTGGAGATAAGTCTCACAGACTTTCCTGGCTGGGCTGACTTTAAACTACAATCCTCAGATCTCAGCCACTTGAATAGCTAGGATTAAAGTCATGAGCTACCAGAACCTGGTTTATACTGTACTCTTATACACTTACGCTTGTAAGGGTGGCCCCAACCCTGCCCAGAGCCCTCCTACAAGTATACACACACACATATCTTCCAGCAGATAATGGCCCAGAAAGCTCCAAGCCTGAAAACCAAGCAAAACTGGGCCAAGGTGGCTTCCTCCATTTTCCTCATCCTGCAAAATCCTCCCACAAGCTCAGGCCAGTTCATCTGCCTCGGCCTCCTTTCCACATTATTCATTTTTTTTTGGGGGGGGGGGGGTCAGGTCGTGGGGCCTGAACTCTGGGCCTGGGCACTGTCCCTCAGCTTGTCAGCTCAAGGTTAGTGCTCTACCACTTGAGCCACAGCGCCACTTCTGGCTTTTTTTCCTTTTGCTTATGGGGTACTGAGGAATCGAACCCAGGGCCTCATGCATGCAAGGCAAGCGCTCTACCACTGAGCCACCTTCCCAGCCCCTATTCTTCATTTTTTCAGGTTTTCCCCACAGACCCATAGCCAAACAGTCTCCTGAGGCCCAAAGGATTTCCAGCAACCTAGAAGCCACTCCTGACCCTTTGGTGCCAACTAACCCATCCATGACCCTATGGTACTAACTAACCCACCCGTGACTCTATGGCGCCAATTAACCCACCTGTTACCCTATGGAGCCAACTAACCCACCCCTGACCCTATGGTACTAACTAACCCACCTGTTACCCTATGGAGCCAACTAACCCACCCATGACCCTATGGAGCCAACTAACCCACCCATGACCCTATGGAGCCAACTAACCCACCCGTGACCCTATGGAGCCAACTAACCCACCCGTGACCCTATGGAGCCAACTAACCCACCCCTGACCCTATGGTACTAACTAACCCACCTGTTACCCTATGGAGCCAACTAACCCACCCGTGACCCTATGGTGCCAACTAACCACCAGTGACCCTATGGTGCCAACTAACCACCAGTGACCCTATGTGCCAACTAACCCACCCATGACCTTATGTGCCAACTAACCCACCTGTGACCCTAATGAACCAACTAACCCACCCATGACCCTATGTGCCAACTAACCCATCCGTGACACTATGGTGTCAACTAACTTACCCGTGACCCTAAGGAACCAACTAACCCACCTGTCCAGTGGTGGTGACAACCTGGCACCCTATGGACATGATCTTCCTCAAGCAGGGCCTTTTACCCAAAAAAACCCTGCACACCCCAAATTCCCACCACTTCTCTCCACTGTGTGCAGCTTCATTTTGTCTTTCTTTTGGTACTGGGAACACAGAGCCTTACAAGTGCTAGGTAAGCACTCTATCTGTTGAGCCCTCCCCATCCCATCCCGGCCCTCCCACTGCTAAATGCTCTGGGCATCTCAGCACCATGCCAAGCCGCTGGTGACCATGAAGCCATTCACCTAATAGCAAATCTTTGAAATTAGCTGCTACCTCACACAGTCATCTCCTCTTCCATGTGACAGGGAAAAGATGACAAGCAGGAGCAGCCTGGCTGGCAAGTCAGGACCTGTACTATTATCCTGGTGGATGTGTATAGCCTTTTGGCATCCATGATGGCAGCATTCCTGACCGCAGGCTGCAACCCACTACAGTGAAGGTGAAATCAATCTACGGCATCATGAACAGCATTTTAAGTAAGACAGAAAATATCGTTTTATAAAAAGGAAGGGTAAGAACTGGTCCAGGGAGCCAGGCACCAGTGGCTCATGCTTGTAATACTAGCTACTCAGGAGGAGATCTGAGGACTGCAGTTTAAAGCCAGACCAGGTAGGAAAAAGACCATGAGACCCTTATCTCCAATCATAGAAAAAGTGGGAAGTGGTGCTGTGGCTCAAGTGGCAGAGTGCTGGCCTTGAGCACAAGAGACTAAGGGGCAGCGTCCAGGCCCAGAGTTTAAGCCCCAAGACTGGCACAAAAAAAAAAAAAAAAAAAGAATTGTTCCAAGGAAGACATATTCCGCTGACACAAACACATATGTGGTGAAGTACAATGTGAAAAATATCTATGGCCTAAAAGAACGAAAATCACCATGGCCCTACCCACTTAGGTACACAGGGAGCAAGTGTTTAAAGCAAATTATTATTATTATTATTTTGCCAATCCTTTGGCTTTGAACACAGGGCCTGGGCACTGTTCCTGAGCTTTTCAGTTCAAGGCTAGCACTCTACCACTTGAGCCATAGCACCACTTCTGGGTTTTTCTGTTTATGTGGTACTGAAGAATCGAACCCAGGGCTTCATGCATGCTAGGCAAACACTCTATTATTTTATTCGACTATAATCATCTGTTATTAGAAAATGTGACTGCAAATGTGGGAGTGATATGTACACTTCAAAAATATTAACACTCAACTAACATTAGATATCAAGAGTCCCCGGGAAGCCAGGTGCCAGTGGCTCACGCCTATAATCCTAGCTACTCAGGAGGTTGAGACCTGAGGATCGTGGTTCAAAGCCAGCCCAGGCAGGAAAGTCTATGAGACTATAAACTACCAGAAAACTGGAAATGGAGCTATAGTTCAAGTGGTAGAGTACTAGTTAAGCAGAAAAGCCCAGGGACAACACCCAGGTCCTGAGCTCAAGCCCCTCGACCAACAAAAAATAAAACAAAAGAGTAAATGAAGCCTGTGTCATACCTGAGTTCCAATACTCCAGTAAAACCACCCCACATAGGAAGGGTGCCGGAACCAAGCGTATACCCCGCTTGTCACCAGAGTGTGGGTGTCTGACTTTTCATTTTGCACCACGTGGTTGAAGTTGGAGCCCGCAGTGAACATGGCAGCCTTCCTCAGGCACTCTCCAAAGATGACCATCAGCAGCCCCGTGGCGCTGAGCCAGGTGATCTGCTTCAGTTCTGTAGAGAGACATCAGGGATAGGCAGTGAGGACACCGGACTGCCCATCGCCCTCCTTCATCGTTCAACCTATTTCCCCAAAGACAGAAAGATCAGAAAACAGGCCCAGGGCAATTAGTATTTGTCATCACGTTAAAAGAAAACAAGACCCACCCCCATCTAAGTCGCTATTCATCCATTTGCTTTATTATTTACTGGTTTTTGACAGTACTAGGGCTTGAACGCAGAGCCTCCAGCTTGCTAGGCAGTATGCAGGCACTTTACCGCACTCGACCCACGGCTCCAGGCCTGCTTCTTTGCTGATTATTTTAGAGATGGAGTCAGGTAAACCTCTGCCCAGGCTGGCATAGATAGGATTACAGGAATGATGCAGGCTCCCAGCATCACCCTTTTACTGTAACACACCAACAGGCCAATTACAGTGTGCTCCTTCTAGGCTGGTGGCTCTGGAGCGCTCACTCACTCACATCCTTCTATTAGGAATAAGGATGGCTGGGAGAAGCACAGCCTGAATCTTGGGAAGCACACACACATTTCTTCACTGGCAACAGAAAGTACTTCAGTCTCAGAGGGGCCTCCAGATGCTGAGGTGCTGGCTAATAAAACCTTCCTCCTCCCACAAAAGATGGACTGACCCAAACTTCATCTGATTGCAACGTGAAAACCATCAGATTTGTGTGTTGTGTTATGCAAGGTTGAAAGCAAAAGGTCAACCTGTCCTGGATTCAAGTTCTAGAAGTGGAATTCTCCAGCGAGTGAGAGAATGAACGCAAGCGGAGCCTGTTCCTTATAAATAGCTTAGTGAGGACAGAGGGCTGGGGAGAATGGCTCAGGGGAGATTAGACCTGAAAGGTGAACCAATGTCAATGTTCTCAGCCCATGGCAAGGCGCTCTTCTCCCTTCCCCTGGGGAGGGGAGGGCAGACTCACCTGGCCAAAAGATATTTTCAAGTGTGAACTCTATCCAAGAAGAAAGAGCAGCCACTGTGTACTCCAGACTGTGATTGAGGAGAAATGAGTCCAAAGACAGACTTTTGGGATTGTTGACAGCTGTCACTAAGTACTCAGAATAGTGGAATAAGGACAGCGAGCACACATACCTGTTTAAAAAAACAAAGAGAGGAGGCTGGGAAGGTGGCTCAGTGGTAGAGCGCTTGCACTGCATGCATGAGGCCCTGGGTTCGATTCCTCAGCACCACATAAGCAGAAAAAGCCAGAAGGGTGCTGTGGCTCAAGTGGTAGAGCGCTAGAATTGAGCTGAAAAATTGAGGGCCAGCGTCCAGGCCCAGAGCTCAGGCCCCATGACTGACCAAAAACAAACAAAAAGCTACAACAAAGAGGTAAACTGGGCAAGAGAACTAAATTAGCCATAATAAAAATACAGATTTGAGTCTCAACTGTCCCTAAAAGTATGGTGAGGCCACTGGCAGCTGTGTGGACAGGAGACAGCAACGTGTAGCCTTCTCCCTGTGGTTTGCAGGAAGTGGGTTTTTTAATGGAGTTATGATTTTGAATGCTGTTGATCAGGAGGCTTGAACTCAGGGCCTAGGGTTTGTCCCTGAGCTTTTTTGCTTAAGGCTAGCATTCTACCACTTTTACCTGCAGCTTCATTTCCAGTTTTTGGGTGATTAATTTAGAGGTAAGAGCCTTTCTTGCCTGGGCTGACTTCACACTGAGATCCTTGTATCTCAGCCTCATGAGACGCTAGGATTACAGGTCTGAGGCACCAGTGCCCAGCTCCTTTTTTTTTTGTCAGTTGTGGGGCTTGAACTCTGGGGCTGGGTGCTGTCCCTCAACTCTTCAGCTCAAGGTGAGCCCTCTACCACTTGAGCCACAGTGCCACTTCCAGTTTTCTGGTGGTTAATTGCAGATAAGAGTGTTACAGACTTCCTGCCAGGCTGGTTTTGAACAGCAATCCTCAGATCTCAGTCACCTGAGTAGCTAGGATTACAGGTGTGAGTCACTGGCGCCTGGTTCCTTTTGTCTTTTTTAATACAGTGTGTGTGTGTGTGTGTGTGTGTGTGTGTGTGTGTGTGTGTGTGTGTGTGTGTGTGTGTGTGTGTGTGTGTGTGTGTGTGTGTGTGTGTGTACAGGTGCTTTGGTACTAGGACTTGAACTTGGGGTCTGTGCATTTTCCCTTCACGTTTTCACTCAAGGTGGTACCCTGTCACTTGAACTACACCTCCACTTCCAGCTTTTTGCTCGTTAACTGGAGATAAGAGTCTCTCAGAATTTTCTAACCTGGCTGGCTTCAAACCTCAATCCTCAGATCTCAGCCTACTGAGTAGCTAGAATCCTCAAGGCATGAGCCACCAGTACCTGGCAGCAACACACATATTTTTAAAAGAAAGAGGTAGCTATCAACGTAAAGTAATATGTATGTTAGAAAATTCAAGAGACTAACATAATTCTAGTACAGAAGGATTAGATGGCTCAACGACAATAGGAGATAAAGCTTTTTAGCTTGAAGCCCTGGTCACAGCCAGGTCAGAGACCCGAAGGCTTGAAGGACAGAAGCCCTAAGGCAGGGAAAGGTCCCACGCTGCCTGTGGGGGTGCAGACTTGAAAGACTTAGGATGAGCAACCAAAGCCTTGCTGCCTCCCACCACTCCCATCACCTGCACCCCCTTCTGGGAAGGGCAAGTGGCCTCACTCAGTGCTGTCACCTTTGGAGAGGGTGCCGGGAGACCTGCTTCTGTCTCCAGGACAATAAAGTAACTGGCACAAGCAAAACAAGACATGCACTGTGGGAATGGGAATCAAGGGCAGGCATGCATCCCCCAGTGACTTTCTGTCTGTAGCATAGCTCAGACACCAGGAGGAGGAATGCCACTGACCACCCTCTAACTGCCCCCACCCTGCGCCCCCTCCCAAAACACAGCAGTCCCCAAGTATTTCTTACCAGCCAAAATGATTCCAGGAAGATTGGCTAAAACTGAGCAGTACTCCACAGCCAAACACAAAGCCAAGGAAGCAGGCTCGGATGGCTATCTGAAACAGATCAGAATTGACACCCAGTCACCAGCTGTTCCAAACCACCCTCTGGTTGACCCTTGTGAGCCCTCCTGGGATGGAAGGTCACTGGCAAGCAGAGGACACAGTCCACTTGCTCAGAGGTTCAAAAGGCTCTGTGGCTTTGGGCAAGTTAATTAACTCCTCTGGATCTTGGCGTATCCATTTACATCAGGGGGAAAAACAGGACTCGCCTCTTAGGACAGCGGTGATGGCTACCTAAGTACCTGAGGAAAACTGCAAACAGAAATGGTGAACGCCATCATCTCTGCTGTAGTTTCAGAGGGGAGGAGAACTCCTCAAACGTTGTTTCTCGGCCGCTGGGATGAGGACCGGGGGACTGGGGGGGGGGGGCTCCCGGCGGGGGTGGGCTGGGACTGCAGGTAAGACTCCACACCTTACATTACATAAAAGAACCGTGGCCTCGCTCACTCCCGCCCCACGCACATCAGATGCCACAGCTGCTGGGAAGCAGGAGCTGCAATTTAACACCCACGGCCGGGAGCGGCGGGTCCGTGCGGTGCCCTGAACTCGTGGCCGAGGAGCACGCCCAGGGGAGGCAGCGCCGGACCGAGGGGAAAGGGGGGGTGGGGGCCGCGCCGCCCCGAGCGAGCTCGGACCGCCGCCGCCGGGGCGGACGCCAGCCGCTTCCCCACCCGGCCAACTCCGACCTGCCCGCTGGCCTCCGCCCGGCCAGTCCTAGACTGACCCGGGCTCGGTCCCCGCCGGCCGGCCCCCGGCCCTGGTCTCGGCCGGACCCTCAGTCCCCGACGGCCGCGTCCTCGGCCCCGCTCTCCGCCTCACCCCGGCCCCGGCCCCGCTCTCCGCCTGATCCTGGCCCCTCTCTCCGCCTCACCCCGGCCCCGGCCCCGCTCTCCGTCCGCCCCGGCCCCGCTCTCCGTCCGCCCCGGCCCCGCTCTCCGTCCGCCCCGGCCCCGCTCTCCATCCGCCCCGGCCCCGGCCCCGCTCTCCATCCGCCCCGGCCCCGGCCCCGCTCTCCGTCCGCCCCGGCCCCGCTCTCCGTCCGCCCCGGCCCCGCTCTCCGCCCGACCCCGGCCCCGCTCTCCGCCCGACCCCGGCCCCGCTCTCCGTCCGCCCCGGCCCCGCTCTCCGCCCGACCCCGGCCCCGCTCTCCGTCCGCCCCGGCCCCGCTCTCCGTCCGATCCCGACCCCGACCCCGGCCCCGCTCTCCGTCCGACCCCGGCCCCGCTCTCCGTCCGCCCCGGCCCCGCTCTCTGTCCGCCCCGGCCCCGCTCTCCGCCTCACCCCGGCCCCGCTCTCCGCCTCACCCCGGCCCCGCTCTCCGCCTCACCCCGGCCCCGCTCTCCGTCCGCCCCGGCCCCGCTCTCCGTCCGCCCCGGCCCCGCTCTCCGTCCGCCCCGGCCCCGCTCTCCGTCCGATCCCGACCCCGGCCCCGGCCCCGCTCTCTGTCCGCCCCGGCCCCGCTCTCCGCCTCACCCCGGCCCCGCTCTCCGCCTCACCCCGGCCCCGCTCTCCGCCTCACCCCGGCCCCGCTCTCCGCCTCACCCCGGCCCCGCTCTCCGCCTCACCCCGGCCCCGCTCTCCGTCCGCCCCGGCCCCGCTCTCCGTCCGCCCCGGCCCCGCTCTCCGTCCGCCCCGGCTCCGCTCTCCGTCCGCCCCGGCCCCGCTCTCCGTCCGCCCCGGCCCCGCTCTCCGTCCGATCCCGACCCCGGCCCCGGCCCCGCTCTCCGTCCGCCCCGGCCCCGCTCTCCGCCCGACCCCGGCCCCGCTCTCCGTCCGCCCCGGCCCGGGCCGCACCTGGTAGCGCGGCGGCCGGTAGAGCAGCAGCAGGAGCGCGTTGAGCCCCGCCACGTAGAGCGCCAGCCCGGTGCGGCCCTGCAGGCCGGCACGTGTGAGCAGCGGCAGCGCGAGCACCGAGGCGCCCAGAAGGAAAGTAGCGAGGCTGAGGCGCGCCTCGGAGCCCGGCGGAGCCCGTGCCGCGCAGCCCGCCATGGCGCCGGGCGGCTGCCGAGCCGGCTACAGCCGACGAGCCGGACGGCAGCGCCTACCGTAGTCCGGGAAACACGCTGGCCGCGCCTGCGCACTGCGCCGCCGACGCCAGCCCAGGAAGGGCAGCCGCCCGGAGCGGCGTGTGGTCGGCGAGTTCTCGCGAGAACTTCGCCCCGTGCGGCGGCCGGCCGAGTTGGGTGGGAACGCCCCTGGCCCCGCCCGCGGTCCCCGGGCGCGGCCTGGTCCCGCTGGGCGGCGGCCCACCCGGCGGGGAAGTTGCTTTGCCCTGGGCCTGAAGTTAGCCCCAAACGGATCAGGATTCCCGGAAACAACGTGGGGTGGGAGAGGACCCCGCCGGGCGCGGGCGGGCGCGGGCGGGGCTCCCCGCCCTCCCTCCGCTGGAGCTGCACCCGGGAGCCACCCCGGCCCTCCGGCGTCTGCTAACCCTAACCCTAACTGTGACCGACCAGTCTCGGACTTCCCTGCCCGAGCCGATTTGGAGCCTGACTCTCGGACCTCGGCCTCCCGAGGAGCCCCCCAGGCCGGGCTGGATGTGATATACCGAAAGCGATGCGGGACAGCATCTGTGAGGCCCGCCCGGGAAGGCGGGGGGCGGCCCCGCACCTTCCGCTCACCCTGGACCCCATCTTCAAGGTGTTTGCTGCAGTCAGGAATTCCAGGGGAGGGGGGAGTCTGCCCCCACTTCCGGGGGGCACCCTAGCTTTCCTCCTTTCTTTATGGGATTCCTCTAGTCCAACTTGTTGGGGACATCGGATGTGCTATTGATTCTCTTACCCTGCTGTGCCATAGGACATCAGAACTCATTCCTCCAATCAGAATGGAACTGGCCTCGCTCCCTGTTCTTCACCTTTTTTTTTTTTTGTCCGTCATGAGGCCTGAACTCTGGGGCCTGGGTGCTGTTCTTCAGCTCTTCAGCTCGAGGCTAGCGCTCTACCACTTGAGCCACAGCACCACTTCCAGCCTTTTCTGATTATGTGGTGCTGAGGAATCGAACCCAGGGCCTCATGCATGCATGGCAAGCGCCCTACCACTGAGCCACCTTCCCAGCCCAGCTCTTCACTTTTTAAAGGCTTAGCACCCCCACCTCACCCTCACTCCCACCCCCCCTGCCCCTCCTGCCCCGCCCCCCCCCTCACCCCGGTCCCCAGCTCAGTGAGCAGCCATGGAGGGAATAGAAAAGTCTGCAGATGGCTAAAATAAACTCTGTAAGGGTGTATGGACAGAAGCAAAGGAGGCTGGGGAGAAAGGAGTACCCAGCAGGCCTGGGATGGGAGGCTGCAGGGGAAAGACTGTGGACCTCCTGCCTCCTGGAAATGAGAGCATGACTGAGGAAGGAAGGAGAGGCGAGGAGGCACAAGCCCCAGAGAGCTTGGAGCCTGGAGTAGTTAGTCAGCACTGACGCCAGCCCTACATCTGAGCCTCCTTTGCTCCTGCAGGTCCTGGCAGGAGCCCTGGTGGCTGTGCTTGAGGATGGAGATCCCGAGGTGGCAATCCAGGCTCGGGTCCTAATTCTTTAGCCCCAAGCTTCCTAACATGCGGCTCCAGTCTTCACTGTCATGGGTTGGTATTTATTCTGTGGAGCTCAGCACCATGGTTGAGGTGATGCTTAAGGCGACTTGATAATTCAGGCGAATGGGATTGGAAAGGTAGCTGGTATTTCAAAAACCAAAGTTGGGCTCTGGCTCTACGGAAAGCTTTGGCCTAACATGTAAGGTGAGTTCCATCCCCAGCACAGCAATAAACAAAAACAAACAAAGGAGGTTACTGTTAGTAGGGACCAAGTACAGGAGCTCCTACCAGACTAGGAACCTGGTCTCCGGTTCCCAAGCCACCTCAGGGCCACTAGAGGGTGCTCATTGCTTCTCTACTCCTGGGAGGGAGCTTGGGCCTTGGGTGGGGTAAAAGCACCCCCCCAGTTGGCGGGTGGAGGTGGGGGAGAGTGCCTTCTCAAGCTCGGGTCTTTTTTTGTTTGTTTGTTTGCCAGTCCTGGGGCTTGAACTCAGGGCCTGGATACTGTCCCTGAGCTTCTCTTGCTTGAGCTCAGGTCTTTGAATCTCCACAGTGGCCCTGCTTTAGCCCCAGGGACAGATCATTCCATTGCACCCCAGAGCAATGTGGAACCCAGGCTGCAGCGCCCAAACGCCATTCTCTGCCCACAACTTCCTCAGACACCATCTCAGGTGGGGCTGGACTCCAAGGAAGGGACGCTTCTCGAAGTTGCTGAGCTACACTGGAAAGGAAAGGAATCTGATCAAACAAACACACTGCCGGCCGGCTCTGAAGCCAACAAAAATGTAAGAAAGAGAAAAGCACTCAGCCCTGGGATGCCTGCCTCTCCTTGTAAATAAGCATGTGAATGTGTTTTGTTCTGGGAGCGCTCAGGCAGCACAAAGGGAGTCTTTCTCATGCAGTAGAGGGTCTCTTTGCAGCCCCCTTCCCCCTTCCTTCCAGCCATCCCCACCACAGGCTAAAACGGCTTTCCTCAACACAAATGTGTGTGTGTGTGTGTGTGTGTGTGTAAGGGAGGGATCTCTTTTTTTAGGCAGCCCTAAACACTATGGAGTTGAGATGCAATCAGGCTTCTGTTTCTTCAGCAGGGTTTGCTTTATTGAGCAAGAGAGCATGGGGAAGAGGGTGTTAGGAAAGATGAAGTGGACAAAGAGGAAGAAAGAAGAGCCCTCAGGAGACCAGATCAGATTTTATTCATCACTGAAGAGGGCACCAAGTACCACAGAGCAGAATTGGAGGTACAAGAAGCCCGGAACTCAAGGGACTCAGGGTTTCAGTCTATAGTCAAACAAGGAGGTCAGCTGTGGCAGTTGGCAAAAGGTCACCCAGAGCGATGATGCAATGACAGGTGAAGCTGCTGGAAGGCAGGGGAACTTCCAAGAATGGCCCTGGGGATGATCAAGTGGACCATGAAGGCAGCACTGGGTTAGAGAACAAAGCAGAGTCCCACGCGTGAGGATGTACAGAGCAGGCTGCAAGCAGATGCATGGAAGTGAACCATACACTTTAAAAAAGCTGCACACATTTCATCCGGGTCTGCATGCTCTGTATGTTCTGCAAGGAAGCAGGACAAATGTCGAGGAAGCTCCCCACTTCCTCCTCACAATGGAAGCCAGGTCTCCTCCAGGCCTCTATCAGTGCCGCGTGTCCAGTGTGGAGGCAGGGAGGGTGGAGGGGAGGGGGCGGGTACCAGTCCCGAGCATCTGTAGCTCTCCCCAGGAGACAGACTGGAGGAATGAAAGGCCCTTCTCTCCAGTCTGGAAATGGGTAAATGATGTGTAATTTATGAGCACATCAACCTAAAGTGCATAAGTCATATGTGCACAAAGAGGCCGGGTAAATATTTAAAGGTTAGAGACAGCTTGGGGGGGAGGGTGACACAAAAGGCTGGGACAATGCGGGTCTCTCTGAATTCACTCTCCTTGAGCCGGGCCATCCCGGTCAGTGTTGATACACTCACTGGAGTCCCGGTCTTTGTCTCCTGAAGAGCCCTTGGCTGCCAGGCTATTTGGAGTTCCAATGCAGAGAAAGAGAGTTAAACAATTGCAGCCTCTCCAACCCCATCTGGAGACAATTGGCTGAGTGACTTCAGGGCCTTTGCTGTGTCCCAATAGGTAATTACATTGAGCAATCACTTCATTCCACTTTGAAATACATCTGTAGAGGGGAAAGACACAGTTCTCTCACCGGTTATTGGTACTCATTATTAGGCCATGAGGGGCTCGGCAGTTATAAGTTTTGTTTTATTTATTTTATTTTTTGCTAGTCCAGGGTTTGAACACAAGGCCTGCTTCTTCTTCCTCCTCTTCCTCCTCCTCCTCCTCCTCCTCTTCTTCTTCTTTTTTCTTTATTTTTGTTTTTTGTCAGTTGTGGGGCTTGAACTCTAGGTTTGGGCGCTGTCCCTGCGCTCTTCAGCTCAAGGCCAGCATTCTACCACGAGAGTCACAGCGCCACTTCTGGTTTTCTGCTAGTTAATTGGAGATAAAGAGTCTCACGAACTTTCCTGCCCAGGATGTCATTGAACCATGATCCTCAGATCTCAGCCTCCTGAGTGGCTAGGATTTCAGGCCTGAGCCACCGGCGCCTGACTCCCCAAGCTTCTTTGCTCAAGGGTAGCACTCTTACTACTAGAGCTACAGCACCATTTATTTCCAGGTTTTTCTGTGTATGTGGTACTGAAGAATGGATCCCAGGGCTTCCGTGCATGCTGGCAAGCACTCTACCACTAAGCCACATTCCAAGCTGGAAACACTTTTGACTTAGAGTAAAAAAAAAAAAAGTGGTGCTATGGCTCAAATGGTAGAGTGCTAGCCTTGAGCAAAAGAAGCTTAGGGACAATGCCAATGCCTGAGTTCAAGCCCTAGGACTGGAGAGAGAGGGTAGGGGGGAGAAGCTCAAGAACCTTGCTGCAGAGGCTACCTCAGACTGCAGTCCTCAGATTTCAGGCTCCTGAATAGCAAAGATTGCTGCATGAGCCACCAGTGCCCTGACCCACCAGGGTGTCACTTGAGATGGAAGGTGGGATCTCTGGTAGGCTTGCAGACCTGACTCAATGTTTTGAGGGTGGATGCAAAGGTACCTGCTACATTTTTCCTTAAATGTCCTCGTGTGACAAAAGAAGGGGTCTCTCACAGAGAACTCTCCAAAAGTAGATACAGAAGGAACTTTTTCCTTACATGGGCAAAGGGGGCCCAGGAAACATTGGGAAACCAATGTTCCTCATGGACCTGTGCTCCTTTCCAGGTGCCTTGGGGACCCCAGGTGCTAAAGATGGAATCAGAGTTGGTGGCCCAGTTTCTAAGTTGGTCCAAGACCTTCCCAGCAGCTCTAGAGCATTCTGTTCTGCTTGCCCTCCTGCTAGAGGACAGGGTGAATGTCTGCCTCACTCCTCCATTCTGAACATGCTTCTCTGGCAGCTCCTCTTTGGAGTGGGGTCTGCCCAGGGGTGCAGGTTTGAACCCAGAAGTGGGACTTGCAAGTGTTATTGAGAGGAGAGCCCTAAGTCCTCAGGGTGGGTCTCTGGAAGAGGGCTCAGGGGACTTGCCTGGTATCTTTTCCATGATCTCACCCTAGGCAAAAGACCTGACTTTAACTTCTGCAGGAAGTTGGCTGGCCAGAGGGAGAAGACCAAATGAATGGGGGCCAGAGGGAAACAGAGAAAGCAAGCAGTCTTAGAACTCTAGTAAGGGCTGGGAAGGTGGCTCAGTGGTAGAGTGCTTGCCTTGCATGCATGAGGCCCTGGGTTCGATTCCTCAGTACCACATAAGCAGAAAAAACCAGAAGTGGCACTGTGGCTCATGTGGTAGGGCACTAGCCTTGAGCTGAAGAGCTGAGGGACAGAGTTCAGGCCAACAGAATTTACATGGAGGAGTGTGACACTGGGCTCATCCTAGCTACTCAGGAGGCTGAGATCTGAGAGTCCTGGCTGGAAGGCAGCCAGAGCAGGAAAGTCCCTAAGACAACACCGAAGAACTGGAGCTGTGGCTCAAGTGGTAAGAGTGCCAGCCTTGAGCAAAATAAGCTCAGGGACAGCGCCCAGGCCCTGAGTTCAAGCCCCAGGACTGGCAACACCAACACCAACACAGCAAGACTGTGCCGGTGATGAGAGGTTGGTTCTCCAGTAAGGGCCGGCCATCAGCACGGGTGGAAAGGCCCCAGGCAGCCGGCCGGGCGGAGTGGAGGTGCGGGGCGGCGCGCCTCGCGAAAATCCCGCCCCGGTCTCCCGCAGCCGAAGCTGGACATCGCGGATTAGCGCATTGTGCGGTCAATCTTCCACGGCCTTAGAAACACGAAGCCCCCGGGGCGCGGGGCTCCCGGGCACGCGGCCTGGGAGGCGCCGGTGCCGGCCGCGGGGGCCCCCGAGCGGCCGCCAGACCCGCGCGCAGGGCCTTTGCCTTGCTAATGTGCCCGGCTGGACGGCGGCTGGCGGGGCTGCCGGTGGGGGCGCGGGGCTGCGGGGCGGGGCCGCCGGAGCGGCGCGCGCCGGGCCGGGACAGATGTGCCGCCGCTGGAGGCCCGCGCGCGGCGGGGGGCCGGAGCTGGCCCGAGGGGGCGGGGCGGGGGCCGCTGCGCGCGGCCCGCACAATGCCCGTCACCCTCGGCTGCCCCCTTTGTGCCCGGCCGCCGAGCCCGGCCTCCCCGCGGCGCCTTTGTACCGCGCCGCCCCCGCCCGGGGCCCGGGGCCCGGGGCCCGGGGCCGGTCGCGCGGAGACGGCCTCCGCCCGCCGGGCCCTGGCGCTTCAAAGCTGCCCGGCGCGTGCCAGCGCCCGCCCTCGGGCCTCCGCGCCGTCCACGGCCCGCAGGTCTCACGTCCCGGGAGGGAGACGCCCCAAAACTGCCTGGAATGGGGAGGGCGGGCGCGACCCACCAGTATCCCATCGGCCAGCGCGGGGGGGGGGGGAGCCCTGGTTGCGGGGGGGGGGGGGGAACTAGTGAGCCAGTAATGTCCCCTCCTCCCGCACTGAGGCCCGCAGAAGCCAGGCTGATCCCTGGTCTCGGCCGGCTCAATTGTGCAACTTCCGTTCATAACCCCCCAAACTAGAGCCGCCAGAGCCCGCGGAAGAGCGAGATCCAGGCCTGGTCCCCCGAGGGCCGGGCGCCCCGTGCAGCCCAGCAACGGGCTTCATATTCCTGAGTAGCAAAAAGGGGGCCCGGGGCCGGGCCTCAAGGTGCAGGCCGACTTCTCCCCAGATGCCGGGCGGAGCTCCAGTGACCTCCCGGCAGGGGAGTGGGCCTCCATTTACCAGCCGAGGCCCGAGGTCCGGTGGTCCAGGCCTCCCCGCCCGCCTCTGGGCTGCAAGCGCCCACGTTGGGTGCTGAGCGGCCGCAGCCTTCCATCCGCGGCCCCAGCAGAGCGGTGAAGGAAGAGGCCCGCTGTGCCACGCGGGCGGGCTGCACGCTTTAATGGGACACGTGTCGCCGCGCGGCCCCGTGGGCCCTGCCGGTGCCGGGCTTTGAGCAGCCACAGGCAGAAAATCGCTACATTGTCCCAACATTAGGGCGACTAATTCGGCATTGCCATGCGGCTGGAGCGTGAAGCGAGCAGAAAGGCGTCAGTGGCCAGCGCGCCTTGCCTCCGTGTCTTCATCAGGCCCCAGGAGGCCATTAGCTCTGTCCCAGTCATCAAGGTGGTCTGGGGCCCAGGGGCCTCCCAACCCCAGAATACTGGGGGACCCGGGGTAGCCAGAGCTTGGGTAGTCTACCCAGTGGTGAAGCCCAGAACTTAGGACACCTGGGACCCACAGGGCACGGAGGGGACAAGCCTAGGAGGGGCCCCCAGACTTGGGAAGTGGTAGGAGAGATGAGAAACGAAAAGAAAGAGGAAAGAGTCACCCAGGGAAAGAAGGGGGGGGTATCCTGAAGGCCAAAAAGAGCCTGGGCTATTGGAAGGGGACCTTTCCCCTTGCTTCCTCTTTTGTCCCCTCCCCCTCCTGGGTTTCCCGAGTTCCAAGGGCCTCATTGACATGTAAACGAAGGGCCCCTATTAAAGCCGGCTGCCTCCTGCCCCCAGAGACATTGCAACATGGGCACCGAGCCCTCCACCCACGGCAGCTCCGGAGGCCCAGCCAGAAGTTTCCGGAAGGTATGGGGTCCTCAGGGGTTGGGGTGGGGCTCTTGCAGGCCCGTGGGGGTAGAGGGTAGGAAAAGCATAGGCAGGCCCAAGGCCCTCTCAAGGCGATTGGTCCACAGATCTCCAAGCCACTGATGGAGAAGAAGCGCCGAGCACGCATCAACGTGTCGCTGGGGCAGCTGAAGTCGCTGCTGGAGACGCACTACCCGCACCAGGTAAGGCCGGACCCCCTTCCCCCCTCGCTTCCTCCACTCCAGCCTGACCAGCTGAGAACCCTTTGTATGCAATGACAGATCCGGAAACGCAAACTGGAAAAGGCAGACATCCTGGAGTTGAGCGTCAAGTACATGAAAAGCCTTCAGAACTCGGTGCAAGGTAGAGGACTTGGAGGGATTGGAGCAGAAAGATGAGCAGAGCCATGATACGACAAAGCCAGATAAAGCAGATGGGGCCAGGCCTGCTGGTCCTCACCTACAATCCCAGCACTTGAGAGACTAACAGGAAGATTAAATGTGGGAGGCCAGCCTGGCTCAAACATTTTTAAGCTCGACACTGGTGGCTCGTGCCTATAATCCTAGTGACTCAGGAGACTGAGATGGAAGGATTGCTGTTCGAAGCCAGCCCAGGCAAGAAAATCTATGAAACTTTTTTTTTTTTTTTTGGTCGGTTGGGGGCTTGAACTCCATGCCTGGGCGCTGTTCCTCAGCTCTTCAGCTCAAGGTGAGCACTCTACCACTTGAGCCACAGCACCACTTCCAGGTTTTCTGGTGGTTCATTGGGGATAAGAGTCTCATGGACTTTCCTGGCTGGGCTGGCTTTGAACCATGATCCTCAGATCTCAGCCTTTCTGAGTAGCTAGGATGATAGTTGTGAGCTACCGGTCCCAGGCTCCATGAGACTCTTACCTCCAGTTAACTACCAGAAAATCAGAAGTGAAGCTGTGGTTGAAAGTGGTAGAAGCAGAGTTCAAGCCCATGATGGAAAAAAAAAGAAAGGCAGTGCTGAGATTTGAACTCAGGACCACACAGTTGCTAAGCAGGTCCTCTATCACTGAACTATACCACTCGTCCTTCTTGTTTTGGACTATTTTGAGATACAGGGCCACACCTGGGCCCCGACCCTCCTAGTCATGCTTCCCAAATAGCAGGCATGATAGGTGCGGGCCATTGGCCCAGCAATTGCTTCAGGGTCTGGCAAACCTCTTGCCCCTGGCTGGCCTCTGAATCCCAGCCTCCCCGAGCCATTAGGATTGATTACAGGCATGTGCCACCGCACCCAGCTTTTCACGAGTTTCTTTTTAGAGGAGGGATGGCTGGAGAGGGCGTCCAGCGGGGTGAGGAGGGGCTGCTGGCCAGCCTGGCCTGGGGTTGGAATTCCGGTGGGCAGAGGTCTGCATGCTGAGAGCGGGGAGGAAGGGGCCGTCGAATGGCTTCGCTCGTCTTCACACTTCTCCTACCCTTCATCTCTCTCCTCCACGTCTGTCCTGTCTGCTTCCCTCCCTCCAGGGCTCTGGCCGCTGCCCAGCGGAGCCGAGTACCCGTCGGGGTTCCGCGGCTGCCTGCCCGGCGGGAGCCCGCTCCCCCGGCGCGGCGGGGAGGGCAGCGGCGGCCTGCGCTGCCCCCTGGCGCCCGGGCGCGCGGGCGGCAGCACCACGGACAGCTCCGGCCCCGGCGCGGACGCGGCCTCGCCCGGCGGCGCCTCCCGTTTGGACGTCCCCGCGGCCTGGGCTCCGGCGCCGTCCGCCGGCGGCTCCTGGTCCCCGCCACCCCGGCTCCGCCTCCAGGCAGGTCTCCCTGGCTCCGGCACCAGCGCCCCAGCGCCCCGCAGCCGAGCCGGGAGCCCGGGGCCGGGGCCGCGCGTCTGGCGGCCCTGGTGACACCCAGGCAAGACCCGGAGCTCACGGGGCCCGGTGAGGTCCGGCCGCAGACGCGACGAGGGTGCGCGCCTGGCCGCCCGGGCCGCCCGTCCCCGAGCGCGGGTGGCCGGGTGGGCGCGGCCCGCCCCGGGCCAGAAACCGTACCCCCCAATCCGGCCAAGCCCTCCGTCCCCCGGGCAGCCCGTCCGCCCCGCCCCCGGCCGCGCCCCGGTGGGAAGGTCGCCGGCCCCGGGCAGCCCGCCCGCCCCGCCCCCGGCCGCGCCCCGGTGGGAAGGTCGCCGGCCGCCCTGGCACGGAGCGGACCCCTCGCGGCGAGGGGAGTCGCCGCCCCGCCCCGGCCCATTCAGCGCCCCGCGGGCGTCTCGTTCCCACCGGCACAAAGCGCGCCGGACCCCGCCCTGCCGGCAGGCCTCCCCGCCCCCACGGGACTCTCCGATACCCAGAGCCAGACCTTTCCAGAAGCCCCAGCTCCGGAGTCCGCTCCCGCCGCCGGCCCCGCCCAACGACGCCACGCCCCCAGGAAGTCACGCCCCGCCCCCGCGGAGTCCCAAATCGGTCCGTGGCGTGGTCTCCCCACTGCTGGGTGTGCAACCGTGAGCGCCGGTGGAAGTCGCACACCCTCGGCCCAGCCAAGACCCCTGGCCTGCATTGCGGGACTGGACGCAGCAGGTCCCGTGCTGACCCCTAGGGTCGGTCAGGGAGTCCTGGGAGCGCCCCGCACCTGCGGATGGGCTGGGCTCGGACTTGCGGGGAGACTCCAACCTCACCTTGGTTTCCTTTCCCCTCGGCTTCCAGCGCAGAGCAGCATGAGTAAGGGGTGAGACCACAGCACCTCTATCCAGTTTGTTATGCAGAATAAATGCAGAACGCACCTATGTCGTGAGTATGTACATACCAAGGAGGTTCTAGTTTTTTCCACGATGCCTGTTGTGTGCACCTTTTTCCTCTCCCCCTCCCTCCAAGCTTTCAGTACTGGGGCTTGAACTCAGGGCCTAGCCTTTAACTTTTTCGATCAAGCCTGGCAACTCTACCACTTGAGCCACAGCTCTGCTTCTGGCTTTTGGTGATTTTAGTTATAGAAAGTCTCATGGGAATTTGCTGCTCAGGCTGGCTTTGAACCTCTATCCTCTGATCTCAGCCTCCTGAGTAGCTAGGATGACAGGCGTGAGCCACCGGTCCCCGGCTGAGTGTGCCTCTGGAAACTACAAATGGCCCTTTACATAGGTGCATTTCCTGTGTGGGTTGTTTTTGCCCTGCTTAAAAGCTAAGCCGTCCTGGTCCAATCCCAGGGCAGGGTCATCAAGTTTCCACTGCCCAGCTCCCCCAGCACCAGAGGACAGTTTTCAGCCGCGCCTGAAGAAAACCTCTGCTGCCAGCAGGTGGCGACTTCACCCTTGCAGACCTTTTCAAAAGGGGGCCTCTGAATTCCATCAAGGGTCTGCCACACACCAGGCCTGAGGATGCCTGGCTCCAATCGGCCTGCCTTGCTTGCTCTTCTGAATCAAGCTCACAAGGACTGGCACACCCCGGCCATCCCTGGAACGAGTTATCTATCTACCCACTGCTTCACACTGTTGCTGCTACAAGTCTGTCTGGTTAGTTGGCACTCAAAACACAGGCACATTAGCCAGGTTCTAGAGAGGATGAGTAGCATTTGGGAGTAGCTGACCAGCTCTGCGGTTGGATTCCACCAACAGAGTTTCACGACCTAGGCTCAGAATACCAGATGCAAATCTTAAGGAAAATTTTATTGGGTCCTGTACAGAAGAGAAATGCCCAATTTTCAAAAAACTACAAACAGATCCCTAGTTCTGGGCTAGGTGGTGGTATGTAGACAGAGCTCCCTCCCCAGAACGTCCAGGGTCAAGCTCCTTATAAACACAGCAAACAGGCCTGGAGGTTGAACAAAATCCCCAAACCCCAGGATTGTCTGCTTGAGACCCTCCCTTAAGTTTTATAAAAAATCAGGACCGGAGTGGCCCACTGCAAGTATTGCCATTGGATATGAAATACAAAGTGAAAACCCAATGTGTGTGTGTGTGTGTGTGTTGGGAACAATGGCTAGCTGGTGGGCTCTGCCCCAGAGTTACATGCCAGCCCTTGAAGGAACAGCAGCATTAACCAGGGCATCCATGCCCCTGCTCACCTGTGGCCAGCTCACTCTCCCCACCAATACCCACAGCCTGGGGCTGTAACCCTGTCTAGCTAGGAGAAAGAGGAAATGGGCCTGGCCGGCAGAGGCAGAACAGACAGCTCTGTGATGACCTTGAAATTAGTTCCAGGTCTGCACATCTGAAGAGCTGCTGAGGGCTATTGCTGCAGCTCAACGTCATGGGTATTCTAGGACTTGACTTTGCCTGAGAAGACCTGGGCCCATTTTGCCGGCTGAAACCACACCAGCAAGAGGTTTTCAGGGGGGCAGAGACCTCTGCCAGGATGCTTGCCAGATGAGGGGGAGGCAGGAAGTGAGCCGTGGGGAAAGGAGGCCCACCTTGGGCTTGGCTCCTTCATGGTGTGGTAGTGCGGTAGACTGGCAGACATCGTGGAGTAATGCATATGAGGACACTAATGGGGGTTAAGCTGGCTGTGGTGCCGACGGTGATGGTGTCAAAGCATTGTGCTTAGTTGGGGCAAAGTGAATTCCCAGAGGGGCAAGGTGTACTGAGTGGGAGGCCTCGGGCCCGTGGGCCTCACTTGGATTTGCCCTCACAAAGGACCCCGAGGGCTGACCTCTCACCCCTGGCAGGACATGGGACCAGGACACTTCTTCCATCAGCCCTGAGAGAGAACATGGTCACCTGCTCATGGCAGAAGGAAACTGAGCCAGACAGGTCACAGCGACGGAGACCTGTTTGGAGAGCACTGGGGCTCTAAAGACCCTGTGCTTAAAGAGACCTTAAAGGGCAGCTTCTGGGCCCCTGGGGAGTGCAACTGAAGTGGGGGGGGGAGGGGGAGGGTGGTGGTGGTAAACACCTCGTGCAGCAGGTGGCTCACATCTGTAATCCCAGCTACTCAGGAAGCTGAGATCTGAGGATCACGGTTCGAAGCTGACCATGAAAATCCATGACACTGATGTCCAATTAGCCAACCGAAAGTCGGTAGAGCGCCAGCCTTGGGCACAGAAAGGTGTGAGAGCGCCCCGGTCCTCGGAGGCCGGGATTCGGTCTGTCCGGTGCTGGGTGGGTCCCAGGCTGCACCGGGCCGGTACTTCCTCGGTCCCCGCCCCGCGACGGCACAGCCGGCGGGAGAAGCGGCGGCGCGGCGGCTGCGCGCGCGGGCGCGGAGACGCGGGGCCCCGGGCGTGGCGGCCCGCTGGGCCCCGCGCGGCCTAGGAGGCGGAGCCCAGCGAGTCCGAGTGCAGCGTGGCGTAGCCCGAGGACTCGGACGGGGAGCTCAGGAAGCTGCTGGTGCTGCCGCCGCCCGCCGCGTGCAGCCCCCCGGGCTCGCCCCACGACGCGCTCCGGCCGGTCTGCAGGGGCCCCGCGTGCGCGCGCGCGAGGCGGCGCGGCCCCGGGCTCCGCCGCGAGCCGCCGCCCGGGGGCCGCGGGGATCCGCGGGGCTCCGCGCCGTCGGGGGCGGCGGGGAAGGGCCGCGCCGCGGCGGGCGGGCGGCGCAGGGCCTGCGGCTCGCGCTCGAAGGCGGTCAGGGCGAAGGCGTCGGGCAGCAGCGACACCGAGGCGGAGCGGGCGCTGGGCCCGGGGCGGCGGCGCGGGCTTCCGGGGGGCGAGTCGTGGGCGCGGCGTGGGCTGCCGCCGTCCGGGGCCGCGGGGCGCAGCGACAGCAGGCTCTCCGCCGAGCGGCGGCGCGGTCGGTACGGGGGCGCGTCCTCGGCGGAGGCCGGCAGGCCGCCGCGGCGCCGCTCGGGCCCGGCGGGCAGCGCCAGCGCCGCCAGCGCCGCCAGGTCCTCGCCGGAGCCCCAGCGCGGCAGCAGCGCGGGCGGCGGGACGGACGCCCACACGTCCGCGTCGTCGTGGGAGAAGCGCCGAGTGGGCGGGACCTGGCGGGCCCGGAGGACGTCACTGAGCCCGTCCCCCGGCGCCAGGCCCCTCCCACCCTGAGGGCAGGCCGCGCCCACCCGGGTGCCAGGCCCCTCCCACCCCGAGAGCAGGCCCCGCCCGCCCGGGTGCCAGGCCCCGCCCACCAGGGCTCCCCGCCTCGCCCTGCCTCCCGGAGACTCGGGGCGGCTCCGGAGCCTGGGGGCTGGGGAGGGCTGGGGAGAGGACATCGGGGGCCGGTTCCCCCCACCCCCACCCCCCGCCGCGCATGACACCCACCTGAAGGTACTGCATCTTGTCCTCTGGCAGGGCCCGCAGCGGGCAGAGCGGGGGCAGGCCTCCCTCCAGCGCAGAGAGCTCATACTTGGTCATCCTGTCCAGGGCCACAAAGTCGGCGCCATAGCTGAATTCCAGGGGGCGCTCCGACGCCAGGTCCTGGGGGGTGCCGCCCTCCAGGCTGGTCTCTGGGGGGTGGGGAAACAGAGGCACAGGGCCATTGGAACATGGGGCATGTCCTAGAGACCCCCACAGGACCGCCAGGCAGGGGACAGGTTACCTGGTCACAAGGTCCTGCGCCCCACCCTTTAGCCGGTCCCTGGAAGGTGACATGGAGAGGTCTGTTCCTCATCAGAGAGGTGGGGTGGGAGCTGGGAGGGCCTCACATGCACATGGGACCTGACTCTGCCAAACGCAGGGCCTCAGCCCAGGGAAACACTCTGACAAGTTTTTTTTGTTTTTTTTTTTTTTTGGTCGTGGGGCTTGAACTCTGGGCCTGGGCGCTGTTCCTGAGCTCTTCAGCTCAAGGTGAGAATTCTACCCCTTGAGCCACAGTGCCACTTTTGGTTTTCTGGTGGTTCATTGGAGATAAGAGTTTCATGGACTTTCCTGCCAGGCTGGCTTTGAACCAGGATCTTCAGATCTCAGCCTCCTGAGTAGCTAGGATTACAGGTGTGAGCCACTGGTGCCCAGCTCTCTTACTAGCTTTTGTTGTTTTTATGCAGGTACTGAGGCTTAAGCTCATGGGTCTTGAATTCTTGCTTTTTTTTTCCTTCTTCTTTTCTCCAATCTGGTGCTATGTATAATACTTGAGCCATGCCTCCAGTTCTGACTTGTGTTTAGTTGGAGATAAGAATTTTGAGGATTTGGGGCTGGGAAGGTGGCTCAGTGGTAGAGCGCTTGCCTTGCATGCCTGAGGCCCTGGGTTTGATTCCTCAGCACCACATAAGCAAAAAGAAAAAAGCCGGAAGAGGCGCTGTTGCTCAAGTGGTAGAGCGCTAGCCTTGAGCTGAAGAGCTGAGGGACAGCGCCCAGGCCCAGAGTTCAGGCCCCACAACCCGACCCAAAAAAAAAAGAATTTTGAGGATTTGTCTGCCTGGGCTGGCTGTGAACCTCAGTCCTCAGATCTCATCCTCCTAAGTAGCTAAGATTATAAGTGTAAGCCAATGGGGGCCTGGCAGAATACTTAAGTTCTTTGGGGACCCTAAGGTCAGGGGTGAGCCAGGGGGCTCAAGGCTACATGTAGAGTTTAAGGGTCTCTAGTTTCTGTGCATTAACTGGCACCCTGTGTTTGGGGTGATAATAGGGAATATCCAGCAGAATGGGGTCACCTCTGGTCTCCCCTTCCCCAGAGACCACTCCCAGGCCATCCTCACCGTCCTCCGAGTCCCCATCATCGGCCATGAGGGCCATGCACTTCTCCCAGACGGCCCTGAGGTCGGCCCGGTAACGGTCACAGGCCCAGAGGAACACAGGCAGCAGCAGGGCCTGGGCCACAGAGCACCACAGCACGCACAGCACCATCCAGGGCGCAGAGGCGTCGGCCCGCAGGCTGCTGAAGCCCACCACCTGCGGGCACAGGGCTGGGCTTGACTGCCAGGCCTCCTCCCCACCACCCCTCCCAGACTCAGTTTCCTTAGCTGAACACCACTGCCCAGAGCTCAGAGGAGGAGGAGAGAGAACTCCAGGCTCTAAGGAGAACACCAGAGTGGGGGCGGGGTGCCCAGTCCCTCCCTGTACCAGGACGCCCTGTGCATCTTCCTCCTCAGACACCCCAGTGGCTACGCATGGGAAGGTGTAGCATGACTTGCCTCCCCCTTTGGATGGGTCTAGAGAATCAGATCGCAAGCCTACACTATGCTGACCCAGGTCTCTGGCTCTTCCTGGCTAGAGGCCTCCTTCTCTCTGTCCCAACTCTGGGGGCCTAGAACCCAGATGCCAGAAGGGTCAAAGGACACAGGGTCTAGCCAGGTGTCCTTTGGGTCACTTCTACAGGCCACTCACTTCTGCTGTCCCAGGAGAGGCCTCCCTCACTGCTCCCACACCTGCCCAGACAGAGTGTTAAAAGATTCCTAGGACAGAGGGGAAGCATGTGCACTGAAGACACCATGTTGGTTCTGCCATTCGTGTGCAGTGTGATCTGCTGAAAGCTGCTTAACCTCTATGGGTCTGTTTCTTCATCTGTGAACCAGGCTGAGTCCACCTCACACTATCGTATAAGGGGGAGATAAAGTTTCTGGTCTGATTTAACAGGCCAGAAACACGAAGTGGGCTCCGCTGCTCCAGAGAGAGGCCCTCCCAGAGTCCACTGTCCCCGCCATGTTGGCTTTCTCTTCCCTCTGTGGACAGAGGAAGTGGGACTGCGGAGCCTGGCTGCCTAGGGGGCCTTGGGGAAGAGGGCAGGAGGGGTTGGGGCAGCAGGAGCTGCCTCCTGAGCAAGGGCACAGGCTGAAGCCCGCTATGTCATTGTCCCTCTTTGGGTGGACAAAGCCTGCAGCTGCCCCCGGCCCCTCCCCTCCCTGCCCTGCTCCGGACACCCCGCAGCTGGAGCCTTGAGTGTCATTCCTGGACAGCCTGCTCCTCCAGGCTGCACAGCAAGGACCCCCGGAAGTCCCGCTGGACTTTGGATCCTTGCTGTCCAGGCTGTCTTTGGATTAGCTCTCACCCTGGCCTTCCCTAACCCTTAGGGTCAAGAACAATTTCCCAAAGACATGCAAGTCCTGCCTGGCCTTACGCTGCCCCGGCCATGCCCTGTGCCTACTGGTTACACCTGGGACCTGGGCCCATGGAGGCCACAGGCCTGCTACTCCCCTCTCCCTGGAGAGGAGAAATCCCTCTGCAGGCAGAAGACCTGAGTGGATGGATGAGGGCTTAAGTCTGGCAATAACTTCCCAGACGTTAGGAAGGTCATTTGCCTCTATTTCCCAATCCATCAAACGGGGACAATAATTTGCCCCCAAATCCAAAGCTGAGGTTTGAGGATTCGACTGAGAGTCTATGTGGCATCGTTACCCACCAGCACGGGGAAGCCCATGAGGCAGTCATAGATGACCACGATGGTGGCCACCAGGCCGGTGATCTGCAGCGAGGTTTTGGCAGGCTCTGAGCCGTCGATGGAGGAGCGGCGCTTGCCCTGGGCATCCTCCACCACGATGGTGGGCACGGTGAAGGTGCGGCGGTTCGCCCGCCGCCCCACCTGCCCAGCCAGGGTCTGGAAGAGGGCGATGGCCGTGCAGACCACGCCCATGGCCACGCTGCCGCCCACCAGCAGCAAGAAGCAGACGCCGAAGCCCAGGCCGATCTCGGCTACGATGAAGCGGCAGCCGTGGGTGTAGAAGCGTTCGCTCGTGTCGTGCCAGCCGACGGCGGGCAGGGCAGACAGAATGAAGGACACCATCCAGATGCCCATGACGGTGTGGACCGCCTGCTTCTTGGCGTTGCTCAGCCTGGTGCGGGATGGGGCAGGACAGAAAAACCCTGTGATAATCATCGGGATGTCCGGGCCTCAGGACCTGCAGCCAGCACCGTCACCTGACCTTCTAACCATGCGTGTGTGTGTGTGTGTGTGTGTGTGTGTGTGTGTGTGTGTGTGTGTGTGTGTGTGACCTGCAGCCAGCACCGTCACCTGACCTTCTAACCAAGCGTGTGTGTGTGTGTGTGTGTGTGTGTGTGTGTGTGTGTGTTCGTGTGTGTGTGTGTGTGTGTGTGTGTGTGTTCTGGGGTTGAACTCAGGGCCTAGGCACTGTTCCTGTGTTGGTTTTTTGTTGTTGCTCAAGGCTTGTACTCTATCACTTGAGCCATACTTCTGCTTCCAGTGTTTCTGCTGGTGAACTGGAGTCTCACGGGCTTTCCTACCCAGGCTGGTTTTTTTTTTTTTGTCGGTCGTGGGGCTTGAACTCTGGGCCTGGGCGCTGTCCCTCAGCTCTTCAGCTCAAGGTGAGCGCTCTACCACTTGAGCCACAGCACCACTTCCGGTTTTCTGGTGGTTTATTGGAGATAAGAGTCTCACGGTCTTTCCTGCCCGGGCTGGCTTTGAACCGCGATTCTCAGATTTCAGCCTCCTGAGTAGCTAGGATTACAGGCGTGAGCCACCAGCGCCCGGCCCAGGCTGGTTTTGAACTGTCATCCTCTCATCTCAGCCTCCTGAGTAGCTAGGATTCCAGGTGTGAGTCACCAGGTTCTGGCTTCCCCAGGCCTGGCGGTGCAGACACACCCATGCGTGCCCCCGGCAGCCTGGTGCCATCCCCATGCCTTCCCATCAGGACACAGGTGTGGCACCGCACAGCTCACAGCCGTGTAGCAAGCTCACACGTCCCCCCCCCCCCCCCCCCCCCGCCCCGGGCCGCCACACTCACCGGTAGTTGACGGGCCAGCGGACCATCCACATGCGGTGGTAGGAGAGGGAGGTGACGGAGAAGCAGGTGGCCAGGGTGAGGGTGTAGAAGGTGGACACGAAGACCTTGCAGAGGCCCTCGCTCCACTCATAGTCAGGGCGCTGCCGCCGCAGCTGCACCACCGCGTAGGTGGCGATGGGCACGGCCACGTTGAGCATGTGCGTGGCTGCCAGCGTGCACAGCAGGAACTCCAGCGGCTTCCATTTCTTCTGCTTCGCGCCGACGCTGAGGATGCCCCAGGCGTTGGCCAGCAGGGAGAGGCCTCCGCACGCCAGCCAGCCCACCGCGCTGCCGGGCAGCCGCCGCTCCTCACTCATGGTGCAGGCCGGAGCTGGCAGGCGGCCGGGGCATCCTCCTGTGAGCCAGGCCTGGTAGAGCAGCAGCCCTCACAAACGGCAGTTCGGGGATGCCAGGGACCATGAGCATCTGGGGAGGGGGGACAGGGGGGGAGGGACACAGTCAGTGGAGCTCTGGGCCACTACATCATTCCATGTCCAGTCCTGACTTACGCAGGAAGCTATATTGGTGTCTCAGATGAGTCTCTGGCTATCTGCGGAGGCCTCCTGCCCAGGGGACTGTATACAAAGGAGCCCAATAAGTGCACATTCCTTATTTAATCTGCTCCTGATCAAGGCTTGGAATGTAAGTCCCCTAGCCCCCCTCCCTTTTTTATTTTTTAATTTTTGTTGGTTGTGGGGCTTGAACTCTGGACCTGGGCACTGTCCCTGAGCTCTTCAGTTCAAGGTGAGTACTCTACTTGAGCCACAGCGCCACTTCTGGTTTTCTGGTGGTTCATTGGAGATGTGAGTTGCATGGACTTTTCTGCCTGGGCTGGCTTTGAACTGCAGTCCTCAGATCTCAGTTTCCTGAATAGCTAGGATTACAAGTGTGATCCACTAGCGCCCCACCTAGGATGTGAACTTTTTTTTTTTTTTTGGGGGGGGGGGGGTCCAGTCGTGGGGCCTGAACTCTGGGCCTGGGCGCTGTCCCTCAGCTCTTCAGCTCAAGGCTAGCACTCTACCACGTGAGCCACAGCACCACTTCCAACTTTTTTCTTTTTGCTTATGTGGTGCTGAGGAATCAAACCCAGGGCCTCAGGCATGCAAGGCAAGCGCTCTACCACTGAGCCACCTTCCCAGCCCAAGGATGTGAACTCTTGATCTGACACTCTCACTCACTGATTGACACTCTGCCACCCGAGCCATGCCTCCAGTCCCCCTCTCCCCGCAGTGTCTGGCTTTTTGCTGGTTAATTGGAAATGGAGTCTTGAGGAACTTTTCTGCCTAAGCTGGCTTTGAACCTCACTCTTCCGAATCGCAGCCTTCTGAGTAGCTAGGATGGTGTCAGCCTTTGTGCTCAGCAAGAAACTGGGTTTTCTTCCAGGTCACCTGCGTCCTCGGGCCAGGCTGGGTGGGGATGGACGCTGCGGTGCTTGGCCCTGTCCTTGCATTCCACACTGGGCCTCCCTCTAACATCTCAGGGACTCAGACCTTAGTCCCCTCCCCGACTCGGCTACATGAGGCCAGGCCTGAGAGAAGTATCCCCTAAGCCCCCTTTCTCTTTCCTGAAGGGAAAAATCTGCTTCATCTGGTGAGACCTTGGCCAGGCTTCCACAGCACAGCCCCAGGCAGGCCCTGGGGCAGCCGCAGCCTGGGGAAAGCTCTAGAGCTCTGATGGCATGGCTGGGGAAAGTCCCTGAACTGTGTCCTCCTGTCACACTTGGCCCACGTGCCGTGTGTGGTGGTGGCCAGCACGGGCGGGCGATGCTGGGATGCTGGTCAGTAAGGAGTTCTGTACGACTTAATCTGCACAGGCCTCAAGATGGCCTAGACCGAACCTGGACCCTGTACAGGGACCGCTGGCTGCCCTGGAGCGTGAGCCAGGGACTCAGCTGCTGGGCAGGGGAGGCGTCCCGCCTACTAGTGGGCTGGGGGGACGAATCCTTGCCTGTGTGGGCACAGCCCTGGCTGGCCACCCTGGCTGCAGCTAGAGCAAGGGGGGGGCGCTGCACAGGGCGAAGCCTCCTGCTAAATGAAAGCTCGCCCCAAAGCCTGTATAATCTCATCTGCTTAGGCCAACAATTTTCTTGGTCTCTGACCACCAGCCACAGCCACAACCACAGGATGCCCCAGAGACAGTGTCTGCAGCTGTTGAGGGGGACACTGGGGTCTTAGCCACGCCCCCTGGCTCTCCGGCAGGGAAAGGGATTCTGCTGTCCCCACCCAGCTGGCAGGCCCCCTCTGCCGGTCTTGTCTGCAGTCCTTGGGATGTCTGTGGGCCCAGGATCCCTGAGTTCTTTCACTGGTTCTTGTGCCTCTGCCCCCGACACAAGGAGAGTGGCATCGGCTGCACCCCTAGCTCACAGGTACCCGCTGGCGTGCTGGAACCTCTTCTGGGTGGGGGACTGCTGCGGCCAGAGAAAGTCCTACCCTAACGCTGATTAGGTTGCTGCTGGCACAGTGGCCCCCACCTCTGCAGCCACACCCAGCGTGGGAGATGGGGGGGCCCGTCTGACTCCCCACCAGCCCCTCCTGTGACCAGAATACCTCCTTGACTGTACCCTCAAAGTCACGAGGTAGGGTAGAAGACTATGGGTTCAATTCAGACCACCAGATTCCAACCCCAGCTCCTGACTTGATGACTCTTGTTTTTTTTTTTTTTTTTTTGGGTCCGGTTGTGGGGCTGAACTCTGGGCCTGGGCGCTGTCCCTCAGCTCTTCAGCTCAAGGCTAGCGCTCTACCACTTGAGCCACAGCGCCACTTCCGGCTTTTTTTTTCTTTTTTTTTCTTATGTGGTGCTGAGGAATCGAACCCAGGACCTTGAGCATGCAAGGCAAGTGCTCTACCACTGAGCCACCTTCCCAGCCCCCCTTGATGACTCTTGTGCCTTAAGTTTTCTAATCTGTCAAGCAGACAGAAAAGTGTCTGTCTTGGGCTGGGAAGGTGGCTGAGTGGTAGAGTGCCTTGCATACATGAGGCCCTGGGTTCGATTCCTCAGCATTTCATAAGCAGAAAAAGCCAGAAGTGGTAAAGTGCTCGCCTTGAGCTGAAGAGCTGAGGGACAGTGCCCAGGCCAAGTTCAAGCCCCATGACCAACAAAGGAAGAAAGGAAGGAAGGAAGGAAGGAAGGAAGGAAGGAAGGAAGGAAGGAAGGAAGGAAGGAAGGAAAGAAGGAAAGAAAGAAAGAAAGAAAGAAGGAAAAGTGTCTGTCTTGAAGAGCGTCAGAGATGGTTAATGAGCTAGGCCAGAGGAAATGCTCAGTGCAGCCCGTCAGTACTCCATAGATACTTTTGTAGGGCCAGTACACTGAGTTTGGCTCTGTGGCTGAGCCTCAGATCTGCAGCAGATGTTTAAACGTGCACTTGTATATGTGTACAGGTATGCATATACATGCATGTGTACACGTGTATGACACCTGCACACATGTATGGCATGTGCACATAGGTATGCATATATACACTGCACACATATGTTCATGCATGTGTCATATATGCATATGAGTGCACGGGCACATGCACACATCTACATGTATATGTGTATATGCATACGCATATACCAAGCCAGGACCTGGGACAGGATAGCTAGCCTCTGAGTGAGGGGACCACAGAATTGCATGTACCCTTCAGTGTGCCGGGTAGGCTGAATGGGCTCAGCTGGCAGTGTGGTTTAACCACAGTGGGTCGGAGGCCACAGACATCTCTGACCACCAGGCACCTGGTGGGTTGGCTAGGGCCGCTTGGCAGAAGCCCAAGCAGGCTTGTCTGGTACAGCCCACCCTGCCGGCGGGTTGGCTGGTGGTGAGGAAAGCACCACAGGCAGCTACCTACACAGCATTTCACAGCGACAGTGTCTCCCCTTGTCTAGCCTAACAGCGGCATGCTGCAGGGAATAAGGTAGGTGTGGCTTGTGGTTAGAGAGACAGGTGCACTTGCCTGAGCTAGTGTCCCCAGCAATCTGGTATGATGGGGACTGCTGCTGTCCCTATTTTTTAATTAGGGCATAGTAATTGTACAGAGGGGTTTTGTGTGATGCTCTTTGCCCAAACTGACACCAACTCTATTAATCTTTCTCCTTTTTAAGACTACTAGAACAAGTTTCATTATTTTATTTTCACGTGTGCATATGAAGTACCTCATATGAACCATCCTTTTTTTATCGCCCTTCCCCTTTTGCAGAACTCCTACAAATAATCCCAATTTTACTCTTTTGTTTTGTTTTGTGCCAGTACTGGTATTTGAACCCAGGGCCTGGGCACTCTCCCTTAGCTTTTTTCTTTCATTTTCTTTTTGTTGGTCATGGGGTTTGAACTCTGGGTCTGGGCACTGTCCCTCAGTTCTTCAGCCTTAAGGCTAGTGCTCTATCATTTGAGCCACAGCAACACTCCCAACTTTTTCTGCTTATGTGGCTCTGAGGAATTGAACTCAGGGCCTCATGCATGCAAGGCAAGCACTCTACCACTGAGCCACCTTCCCAGCCCCGAGATTTTTTTTTCTGTACATGAGAGAAAACATGTATTATTATTATTATTATTGTACTGGGATCTGAACTTGGGGCCTTGTGCTTGTTGGTCTGGTACTTTACCAGCCCTGCTTTTTTTTTTTTTTTTCTAGTTATTTTGGAAATGAAGTCTAGCAAACTTTTCTGGCAAGCTGACACTGAGCCTGCGGATTTCAGCTTTCCAAGTAGCTAGGATTATATAGGCCACCGTGCCAGCTTCCCATCCCATTTCAAAGGTGACTCAGTAGAGGTAGACTGAGAAACCACCATCTGTCCAGGTCCTTGTTGGAGGTAGACAGAGGAACCACCATCTATCTGCCCAGGCCCTTGGTGGTGCCGGAGACAGGATCTAATCTTCAGAGCCAGGATCTAACCTCCACGTGCCAGAGGCCAGCTGCAGCCTCTCACACCCTAAAGTGTCCTCACCAGGCACTTGAGCTCCTAGAGCGGAGGTCTCTGTGAGCCTCCTGTCCTAGGCCTAGGAGCACCGCTAGCTAGGGCCCAGGGCGGGTGGGGCCGGCCCTCTGCGGTCCGGATGGGATGGGGAGCGGTGGGAGCCGGGGCCAGGCCCCAGGCTGGTCCCGCGAGCAGGCTCCCACATCGCACCACGCACAGCCATGGCCAGGCTCCCACATCGCACCACGCACAGCCATGGCCAGGCTCCCGGCACTGGGCCGACCGCAGGTGCCCGGGTCCTGGTCCCACCCGCCCCGAAGTTCCCTGGGCGGCGCCCGGGAACGGGGCGGGCCCGGGGGGCGGGGCCTTGCGTGACGTCACGGCCCCAGCCAATGGGGCCGCGCGGCCGCGGGGCTCTATTGCGCAACAAAGAGAACCCAGAACTTGAAAGGATTCCCCGGGCTCGGGCCGCGCCCGCCGGGCTCCGCCCCCTCGCCGGGCGCCTCCGCGGGTCTCCGCCGCCCGGGTGCCCGCGGGCCCGCGCCGGGGCAGGGCGGAGCGCCCCGCGCACCTCCCGACCCTCAGCTCTGCGGTTCCGGCTCCCGGGCGACGAGTCTCAGCGGCGCCTGGGGCGGGGCGCGCCGGGCACCCCGGGGTGGCGCTGGGCAGGGCGGGCCCCGGACCCCCAGGGCCACCCCCGCCCGGGAGCCCCGGGATCGGCGCTGCGAGGCCCGGAGCAGCGGGTTCCGGGGAAGTTCCCCCGAAGGCCCCCGCGCCCCCCAAGAGCGGCCCTCGGGCCCGCGCCGACCGGGCGCCCCCGCCCCGCCCCGCCGAGCCCCCTCCCCGGGTTAGCCCGCCCGCCCGCCCGCGCCGGACCCGGGCGGCGGCACTCACCCAGCTCACCCAGCGTTCGGGTGTCCGGGGCGCCTGCTCGCTGCTCCCGCCTCGGGCTCCGGCTGCGGCTTCCGCGGCCCCGGGCCGAGCGCGGGCCGCCGGGGGCCGCGGGGGCGGCTGGCGGCGGAGCGGCCCGCGGGCCGGGACATCCTGGCGGCGGCTACCGCGGGCCGGAGCGGCGCGCTCCGCTCGGCCCCGCCGCCCCTCCCCTCGGCACCGCCTCCGCCGCGGCCGCGCTCGGCTCCCGCCGCTCGGCTGGCTGCGCCCCGCAGGCCGGGGGCGGGGGGCGGGCCAGGGCGCATGCCTCCGCCCGGGCCTCGGCGCCGCCCCGCCGCCCGCCCCGCCGCCCGGCGGACCCCGTGCCGCCCCCCGGCCGCCGCGGCGGGGCTGCAGCCTCCCCCACCCCGCGCTGCCCGCTCCGTCTGGGGTCACCCGCAGCGCCCGCGCCGCCTCCGCGCGGCCGGGGAGACCCCGACCCAGGCCGCGGGGAGGCCGGCGGGGACCTGGCTGGGGCGCGCGGGAGGCCAGAGGCCCCCGGGGCCAGCCGCGGCCTGAGCCGTCCTGGAGAGGCGCGAACTGGACCCCGGGCCCGTGGGGCGGCCGGATTCTAGGGGTCCGAGTTGTCCAGCCAGGAAGCTGGGTAGGAAAGACGCACGATTGTGCCAACTTATCCCTGAACTCCGGTGACAGAGGGAGGTGCATGGCCACACGCCCCCCCCCCCCCCCCCCCCCCGCTCAGACCTGACCCCCTTCCAACCCCACTGGGGGGCTGGGAGACCCCAGGGTCAGCAGCGGGGCCCGTCCTCCCCACTCCTGAGCACCCCTAGGGGGGCGCACACAGTCTCAGCTGGCCCTGTGCAGAAGAAAATGGCCCTGTCCCTTCACGGGGACCTCTGGAAACGCCTGGTCAGGTGGACTGGCATTCGCCTCCATCCAGGCCACAGCCTGGGCCCACCCGGGGCCTCCTGCCACGTTCTTCCTGGGCACACGTGGGCGTGCTTCTTAGGGACTCTCCCTGGGTGGACAGGCTGGCTCTGCCTGCAGAAAGGTGGGCACCTGTCCAAGGCAGGACTGAAGCAAACTGCAGGCCAAACAGCATCTGGCACTTGTGGGGCCCAGGGAGGCTGCCCAGCACCCCCAAAGCTGCTGCGGTACCATCCAAATGGTCCCCACAACCCAGGTCCACGAGCAGCTTTTGGGGTCCCAAGGTGCCCCCCCCCCCATGGTCCTTTGAGGTAGAAGATACTTATAGAGAAAGGGCCAGGAATGGAGAGCCCGGCCTGTGGGGTAGTTGGGGACTCAGTACCCCTCCCCCCCCAGCGAGCTCAGACTGGTCAGGCCCCACCTAGGTAGCCCAGGTTCCCCCCTTCCCCCCAACCCCCCCAAGTCCTAGGGCTTGAACTCTGGGCCTGGGTGCTGTCTCTGAGCTGCTTTTTGCTCAAGGCTAGTGCTTATCACTTCCGTACAACTCTACTTCCAGCTTTTTCTGAGTCCTTTATTAGAGGTAAGGATCTCACTGACTTTACTGCCCCTGCAGGCTTTGAACTACAATCCTCAGATCTCAGCCTCTTGAGTAGCTAGGATTACAGGTGTGAGCCACCAGTGCCTGAGGGACCCAGGTTTTATATCGTGGAGGGTGGCTGCAATCAGGAGGGACGTAGTTTTACTTTTACTTCTGGTGATATGTTGAACCCAAGGCCTCAAGCACACTGAGTGTGCTCAACCACAGGCCCAAAGGCAAACTGTCAACTGTCAGGCAACCTAGCCACTAGCACCCTATAGGCAAAGAGCAGCCTGCCCCAGGACTGTGGTACAGGCCTTGTGCCGCCCCACCCCCCCAGCCAGGCAGCTTGCTCAGTGCTATCCGTGTCTGTGTCTGCCCCATGTCTGCAAGTTCTGAGTAGGTGGCAGGTAGGAAGGTGTGTGTCTGATGGATGTCTGGGGACTTGAGTTCTATTATGCTGTGCTGGAACCTGGTGCTAGGTACTCCACAAGCCTGGACAGTGGATTTTGGGTACCTAGAACTAAAGCCACATGGCTACAAGGCCAAAGCAGGACTGAGGGTCAGATTATCAGGGCACTTTTTTTTTTTCCTTTTTGGTTAGTCGTAGGGCTTGAACTCAGGTCCTGGGTGCTGTCCCTGAGCTTTTTGCTCAAGGCTAGTGTTCTACCACTTTGAGCCACAGTCCCACTTCAGGTTTTCTGGTGGTTAATTGGAGGTAAGAGTCTCAGACTTTCCTGCCAGGGCTGGCTTTGCACTGTGATTCTCAGATCTCAGCCTCCTGAGTAGCTAGGATGACAGGTGTGAGCTACGGCACCCAGTAAGTGCACATCTTATGAAAGACATGACAGGTGCTTTGGGCCTCAGTTTTCCTTGGTAAGCCCTAGGCTCAGACCTTGTTGAGGTAGGCGTGGCTACCTCTGGATTCACAGATCTTGGTTTGGCTGCTTGGGACGGAGCTTTGAAGAGCAGCTTCATCACTCTGTGTACCCCAGCATGGGTCAGGATGAGGGGCAAGTTAGCCTGAGGCCAGCCTCCAGGAGGCTCTGTGCGTGTGTGTGTGTGTGTGTGTGTGTGTGTGTGTGTGTGTGTGATTCTGCACGTGGCAGAACTTGTCCCCTCCCCCTGCTCCCAGGCAGGAAATGGCCCTGTCTGCTGGGACTGGGCTGGAGAGAGATTCCAAAGCTGTTGGCGGGTGTTTCTGCACATCTGGAGCTGAGTTCTCCTTCCGTGGCCCACGGGAACCCGTGCAAGGCCGCAGCTGTTGACAGGCCAGTCTGCTCCAGGCAGGAGGACAGATGTTCAGGCCTCATGGACAAGTCCAACACCACCTTTGGGTGTGTGTGGTGGATGGGGGTGGGGGGTGGGTAGGCCTGGCCTGGGCACAGGTCTTGGCGGCTCATCTCCCCCAGAAGCAGCTGGAGCAGAGGTCCACAGGAATGCAGGCCCCAGTGCCCTCACAGCGCACAGGCACACTGCTAGATACAGCAACCTGCATGTACATGCCAGATACAGCAACACGTGTGCGCACACACACAGCAACACTGATGCACGTAAGTCTCCCACCACAAGCATGCAGGCGTATGTACAACAGATGAGCGGACATATCTGCAGGGACACAGCCTCCCAGTGACTGCATAGACACCCAGGCCCTCGTGCCCAGGCCATCCCAGCAGCTGGGAGCCGCCACCTCAGCACAGGGGTCCTAGGCATCAGCTAGGAGGCACCTGTGAGAGCCAGCATACTGCTATAAGCCCATCAGTGGGGAAGTGGGTCCCCGAGTCCCAGACAGAGAGGCTGAGGCCACCACTACTGATCCAGGTGCTGATGCTGAGGGGTAAGGCCCAGGCTCCTGGAAATGGAGGCGGCTGCCCACTAGAGCAGGGAGCTGCAGGACAGGCAGCTGTCAAATGACCTGACAAATGACCACTCGGGCTGCGTAGATCCAGCCAAAAAGCAGCTTTATTAGTGGGGCTGGGTTCCTTACATACCTTACAGTGTGCTCAGAAGCTCCCCAGGCACCAGGGACAATACTGGGTAGCATTTATACTGGAAGGATATAAATAAAGCTTTGGTGCACAGGTTTTCGGGACAGGGAGTAAGTTAACACTGCCGCACAGACACTTCACACAACACCAGCTCTCAATGGGAATGGGGTTTTGGCCAAGGGGTAGCTCATGGGCGATCACTGCAGCTGCGTGGCCTGCGGCAACGAGGGAGCCTAGGCCTGAGGCTCCGCCTGGCCCTGCCGCTTGGCCTTCATCTGCAGGTACCGTCCTTTGCCTTCCTCAAAGCGCTTCTTCTCGTCCTCTGTCTCGGGCTGTGAACACAAAAAAGGGCACCTTAGGGACACCGCAGAGCCCATGAGGAGGAAATATGGGCGGGAGGGCAGCCTCAGCCACATGTGAGCAGGGGAGACAGGCACCCTGCGTTTGGCCCCGGGGAATGGCAGCCACCCATGGTCTTGGCCTACAGAGAAGGCAGCAGGAAGTGGCCGTGACCTTGATAAGCCTTTTGTCTTGCACAAAACTCAACAGTGCTTGCTTTTGGGGGGCTCTCGGGGAGAGCCCTTGCCATCCTGCTCCAAGCCAGGCAGATGCTGAGCAAGTGGCAGGTGGGATCCGAGACCCCTCATCACTGCCTCCCTCCGCTCGGTGGCCCAGTAACCTCATCCACAGTCAGCGACACTCGACTGACCAGCGGAGCCTACCAAAGGCTGGGTGTTGCCCACAATGGTCTGGTGTATGCCTGCTGGCTTGCAGGATGATGAGCAGCACCCCTCCTGCCCCCCACTTTCAGGAGTGGTCTAGCAGTGCCATGAATCCTGGGGAAGCGGGCAGGGTGCTGCACTAGGTGGTCACCTCCGAGGCCCAGGAGCCAGGGCTCAGGCTTCACCGGCTGTGCCAGTTCCCTGGGGATGCATTTCAGTGCAAGGCTTCTGAGGATGTCTGAAAGCCACAGGAATGGGCAGCTGCCCTTCATCCACGGTGACACCAAGCCCTGGGAGCTATTTTTAGGTGAATGTGTTTTACAATCGGTGTATTCACGAGGGAGAACCAGAGGCTCTAATGTCAAGTCACACCAAACATTTCCTCCCCTAGCCGCCTCCAAAATGGGCTGTAAATGTCACCAGGTGAAACCTGCCAAGGCCCTGCCAGAGCAGAGCCAATGGGACGCCCGGGTATTTAAAGACCAGAACGACGCTTCCACGGGGGTTCTGGCTCCTGTTTGAAGAGCCTTCGGTGCCTACGTAGAAGTCAGTGGCTTTTCCAAGATGCTTCATTGAAGTCTGCCCTGCTGTTCTCTTTGATCTCTGGCTGACTTTCAAAATAGAAACTTGAGGCTACACAATTTGAAACAGCTCAGGGAAAAGTGAGCGGTTCTTAGATGTGTGAGCAGCTCTAAAGAGGCAAGTCACCGAGCTCCCGGGGCTGGAGGGCTTCGCGCGGCCTGGCCAAGTTACGCAGGACTCAGTCGCAGGGTCCTGTGTAGCCAGGCAGGGCATGGCAGGTCACAGCCGTCTGACATCTGGGGTGCGGCCCGGTGCCATGATGCTGGTAGGTATGTACCACCTTTCCTTTTTCTTTTTTTGGTCAGTCATGGGGCTTGAACTCTGGGCCTGGGCGCTGTCCCTCAACTCTTCAGCTCAGGGTGAGCCATAAAACCACTTCTGGTTTTCTGGTAGTTACTTGGAGATGAGTCTCCTGGACTTTCCTGCCCAGGCTGGCTTTGAACCTTGATCCTCAGATCTCACCCTCCTGAGTAGCTAGGATGACAGGCGTGAGGCACTGGAGCCTGGCTGGACCACACTTTTTTTTTTTTTGGGTCCAGGCATGGGCCTGAACTCTGGGCCTGGGCACTGTCCCTCAGCTCTTCAGCTCAAGGCTAGTGCTCTACCACTTGAGCCACAGCACCACTTCCGGCTTTTTTTTTCTGCTTATGTGGTGCTGAGGAATCAAACCCAGGGCCTCATGCACGCAAGGCAAGCTCTCTACCACTGAGCCATCTTCCCAGCCCTCTGTGAGACTTATCTCCAATAAACCACCAGAAAACTGGAAGTGGCACTGTGGCTCAAGTGGTCGAGCGCTCACCTTGAGCTAAAGAGCTGAGAGATAGCACCCAGGGCCAGAGTTCAAGCCCCACCACCGACCAAAAGAAAAAAAAAAAAGATCAAGGCATCAGGCTGATGAGCAGGTCTTATCCCCGTCTTGGGGATTGCTCCTGTCCACACAGTGGAGGCCAACAGCCCCTCTAGTACAGAACTAGTATGTGGAACTTGTGAGGGGTCTCAGAGCTGGGTTCTGCTGGCCTGAGTGTGGCTGTGGCACATCTTAAAATACTGGATTGTGGGTAGGAAAGGAGGGACCAGGTGGGCTGGACCACCCATGCCAGGTGCCTCCCTACTTTAAAGCTCAGGCCCCTTTCTATTGGGAGCCACTCTTCTACCTGGGGGCCTGTCTGCCCCGCCCTGGGGAGGGAAAAGAAGGCAGAGGCTTAGAAGTCCAGCAGTCTTCAAAACCAAGAGTATACAAGCTGAAAGGCAGCCAGACCAACAGGACTGGGGCCAGGCAGCCAATGTGAAGATAGACCCAAGTCGGGGATTCTGCAGGGAGGGGTCTCTGCAGGGTGAGGAGCTGCTGCCCACAGCCAGATAGTCCTCATCCTTCGGGCTTATAGGGAGCACTGGAAGTCCCACTATGATGTAGGAGATTGCTTCAAGGTGACTCAGGTGACAGCCAGAGGCCCATTCCTGTAAGGTGAGCTACTTCGGAGGCTAATATTGGGAGGCTCTGATTCCTGGCCCACTCAGGCAGAGAGACTGGAGAGTCCATCTCTGCGGAGGGAAGCTGGATGTGGCACAGCATGCCTATGACCCCGGCCCCAAGAAGCCTAAAAAGGCCTCAAGCTACACAGGCGGATGGGAGACTATCTTTTTTTTTTTTTTTTGTCCCATCGTGGGGCCTGAACTCTGGGCCTGGGCGCTGTCCCTCAGCTCTTCAGCTCAAGGCTAGCACTCTACCACTTGAGCCACAGCGCCACTTCCGGCTTTTTTCTTTCTGCTTATGTGGTGCTGAGGAATCAAACCCAGAGCCTCAGGCATGCAAGGCAGGCCCTCTACCACTAAGCCACATTCCCAGCCCCCAGGAGACTATCTTGAAAGTAACTGGTGAAACATTGGGGCCGAGAGCATGGCACCTGCTTACCAAGTATAAAGCCCTGAGTTCAACTCCCCAGTGCTGGAAAAAACAACAACAACAAAAACTCAAAACCTAGGCGTGGTGGACAGGAGGCGGAACAACGCACGTGGGCTGGTGCATGCGGCCGCAGACGCAGACACTGCCAGGGCAGCTAAGTATAGACTTTTTTTCTTTTCCACTTTTGCATATTTTGAACCACTAGACACACAGGGCAGCTGCAGATCAGAGAAACCAGCGCTTTCCACAGGGAACATCGCCTCAAGGCCCTGGCTTCCCCAGAGGCAGGCAGGGCCAATACCAGGACAGATACCTGGTGCTGCACGGACATCTAGGCCGCAGCCCAGGCAGAGGGCAGCCTCGGGACACGTGGAACATGCTTTCTCGTCCTGGGGTGGGCCCCGGCCCCCTGCACACAGCACAGCTCTTCTCACAGGCGCTCAGTGGGCTCCTGTGTGGTCAACTAGGCAGTGGACAGAGGAAGCCCTGTGCGTGCCTTCCCTGGCCTCCCAGATGCCACCCCAGCCATCCCTTCTCTCTCGAGGGGGCAGAGGGCTGGGTGGGGAGGACTTGGGGTGCTAAGGGAAGATCTCTGGACATGTACCATCTGTGCATACACCATCAGAGCCCACTGGAGTCCGGTGGCTTGCTGGCAGTCCCATGAAGCAGCACCACGCAGTCACGGTTCCCCTCTGGAGACAGGCAAGCGTAGCTTAGAGAAGCTGCGCAAGTGCACAGTGCGGAACCCCCCCCCCCCCCCCCCCCCGGTGCCTGGCCACGCCTGGAGACAGGTCCAGTGTGAACATGCTGGCCCTGGTGCCAGGGCCTCGGCTCCCAGCCTGTGCAGGGGCATGCCTGTCACATGGCGTGTGTGGGCACATGGAACGTGTTGCCACCAGAGCCTAGGTATACTTTGGCAACATAAACGCCAGACCCTGGCAGCCATCAGGAACTTCCCCAAGCACACAAGGAGCTCTCTTCCAGGATGTGAGGGTGGAGGGGGTAGACACGCTCATATGGGAGCACCAGCACGATGAATCAGGAGCAACAGGGCTGGGGTCTCGTTGGGCTGGGTGCAAATCCCAGGGACAGCCTGGAGGCATGGCGCCAGGCCCTGGGCAGCTGCCGTGGAGCTGCACAGTACAGCCTGGGGTGCTTTTACTTTTTTCTTTTTTCTTTGGTTGGTCATGGGGTTTGAACTCTGGGCCTTGGCACTGTCCCTCAGCTCTTTAGCTCAAGGCGAGCGCTCTACCACTTGAGCCACAGCGCCACTTCCGGTTTTTTGATGGTTTATCGGAGATAAGAGTTTCACAGACTTTCCTGCCCGGGCTGGCTTTGAACCGTGATCCTCGATCTCAGCCTCCTGAGTAGCTAAGATGACAGGCGTGGGCCGCTGGCGCCCGGGTCTGGGCGCCTTTTCTGAGCTTGTTCTCCACCAGACCAGGGGACGCCCTGCACCACGCAGTTCTACAATGCGGCAGCTGCTCAGCCTCAGCGGTTAACAGGCCACCAAGTGTTCCAGAATCGGTGGAGGGTGCAGGACGCTTGACCCGAGGAGGGAATGGGCTGAAGCGCAGGAGTTTCTAGCGATTAGCTCAGGAGGTGGTGAAGCCAACATCCAGCACCGGGCCTTGGAGCTGGTGTAGCTATCTGCAGGGAACTCATCACTGGGATCTGCCCTCAGCTGAAGTGAATGGCACCGACGATGGATGGGCAGGAGATCGGCTGGGAGAGTACAGCCAGGCCTCCGCTCCAGCCCATGAGGAAGGAGCCAGCCAACCGCCCCCTGGCTCTTCCCCGTCTTGGGGACAGCGGCATGTGCTGATCATTCTGGCTCTGAGGCCTAGGAGCACTGCTCACCCTGGTTCCCTTTTTTTTTTTTTTTGGGGGGGGGGGGTTGTCCAGCCAGGTCAGGAGCCTCCCCCTGCTGTCAGGGAGCAGGGGCTGCAGCGGCTCTGGACGGGACGGGGTGGGGCCCAGGCCTGGCCTGCGTTAGGCTTCTGGGCCCTCGTCTCTGGTAAACAGTTCTCCCGCTCAAGTGATCACGGAGGGGCTGCCTGGTCCCTGCTGGGTTTGGAGCTGGCAGGATGCGGCAGCTGGCTCCCCAGCACGGCCCCCACCCACT